GATACAATCCTGTGATCACTTTATTTATTTGACTAATATTACTTATATTAAATGACGCTATTTTAGGGCTTTTATCGTGTTTTCATTTTTAATTTTTTTAAGTTTCGAACCTGTTCTAGCGCTCCAGCATGTTCCGTGACCATGTACGCTTGAAAGGTTTCTTAAGATCTGGAATAAAAAAAATTAAAACGCGATAAAATGCGTAAAATAATTTAATTTCATGTAATATTCGCGAAAAAACAAGAAATGAATATTATACAATATAACTTAATTACAAATGGTCCTACGGGAATAGCCAAACTTTGAAGGTATCATAGACATTAACCTTTTTTTCGTTTAGCATGTAACTAATATTAATTGTTCTTGTGTCCTATCAGTAACTTTAAACCTGTATGCAGAGGCTGGAACTAAAATTAAACATCAAATTCTATTATCAAATATTTAAAATAGATTTTCGCAAATGAGCGAATTTAATGGTACTCAAGTGTTAAATGAAATCTCCGCGATCGGTTACTTCAATATTTGTTGTGTCTTGAAATAGCGCTCTCTACTTTGTCACCGAAATAAAGTTTTGAATTTACATCGAAAACAAAGAAAAATCTTTCAGTTTTTAACGTACATAATATAAAATATTATACGGGTTACGTATTTCCGTTGAATATATGTTCACGCTGTTTTAATTCTGGTGGCATGAATTACTGAAAAAATTAAAAGCTCATTGCGCTTCGAAACTACACTTGAACCAATCTCAAGAAGTTCATATTAAAATGACACTAGCGACCCGCCCCGGCGCAAGGATGCAATGTATGTATAATAAACATATGACCCTTCCTCTTGAATCACTCTATCTATTAAAAAAAACCGCATCAAGATCCGTTGCGTAGTTTTAAAGATCTAAGCATACATAGGGACAGACAGACAGCGGGACGACATTGTTTTATACTATGTAGCGAAGAAACAATATAATGTTGCGTTCTGTGTTGGCGTATATGATACGTTATTATAGTATATCTCTGCTATACATACTCCGCATGAATTTTATATCACACAATGTTTCACTCGGCCACGCGACGCGCCGACAATGTGCCGTTCGGTTTGAGAGATCAGAGACTAGATAGCGGCTTCGGATCCGTTAGTCCGTCTGGGTTAACAATGCCTCTCGGCTTAGTGGATTTTTTGTGAACTCGCTCGGCCATCCGGCTTTGTTCGCGGCGGGGAAACAGCTAAACGTACACACGCTTCGCATTTAGTAACGTAATTCACGGTGGTACTAAGTGTTAAGTGTATGGTGTTAAATTTAGAACGAGAACGAAGCAGCATGCTTCTACGAGGCTCGGGTTAGCCTCGTAGAAGCATTTTGCTTTCGTGAATTGGTGGGCATATAACCAGGAGTATTTAAAGTACACCGTGACACGAGAATTTTATATATTATCTGGGTGATGAGGTAACTTAAAAGCAAAACGCGACCGCAACGTCTATGATATTTATATCACATCTTTACATAATTTTTTTCGAAGTCGTGAACCTGAAGTAAAGGACGATGTTTAGGATGGCTAAAGTCAGAAAGTGAAAAAGTAATGAACCGGTGGTAGCTTTTTTGACGTTCAATAAGAGTTTAAAACAAGCCTATGACTTTGATTTTAACATATTTAAGCCACATTTGGTAAATTCAAGCATGAACTTTTGCCGGTTTGTTATCGTCTCGGATCCTGATGCTGTCGAATGTCGAATCTTCGGGAATATTTAATGTTATATCGGTCTAATTATGAAGTATGTCGATGGCAGAGGTACGCGTCGTGCTGTCCGAATGAAACGCGACACGAGCAGACGGACAAATTTCGTCCGCTCGTTGTTATTAGTGCGCAGTGGCAAAATCGCGGGAGTCGGTGAGAGGAGGTGGTTGCGACCGAAACTGGTTTGTGTCGAGCCGCGGACGCTCGTCTCCGAGCGGCAGCTGTCAACGATCAGACTGCGTCGCTTAAAAAAAATGTGATACATGTTAACATACGATATGTGCACGAAACGTAAATTGAATGCTTTTTTTACCCGACTGCGCCAGAAGGAGGGCTAGGTTTTTCGAGAGTATGTATGTATATAGGTATAATTGTTTGGCACGTTCTGCAGTCTGAACGGCTTGATGGATTTTAGCTTGAGAGGTGTCGTTAGATTCTTATTTACTGTGAGAGTGACGTATATACTGGGTATATCAAAATAAAAAATTACACAGAAACGAAGTCGGGTTTTTTAGTTTTTTAAATTATATTCTACTTGTTGTAAATTCATTCAGGTGGTCGTTTGAATTTCAGGGTTTGGCCTGCAACGGTCACTATTAGGCTTCTCTGATATATTAAGTTAATCGTTATAATTAGTAAAATTATCAATTTTGATATGAAATCATTATGTCAATTATGCCCAGCATAAAACGGATTCGATTATTTGCTTTGACATATAACTTACATTATTAAATAATTTGTACAAACGCTAGTGATGTCTCTGGGTGCGGCAACAGGAGTATTAATTATATTCGTTAATTTTCTGACGGAAAGAGGTTGATATTATGTCAACTCCTTTTGCGAATTGATCTGGCCATGTATCATGTACTTTTTAAATTAACGGGTGGTTAATGAATGAATTATATGTCCCATTCGAGGTATCAATCGATTTGAGGTATAAATAAAAACTCGTGAAAATAGTTATACAGCCAAGGGGAAAGTTGGTACATTTGAGTTCTAGTTCATTATCAAGAAATCCTCATAAACTAATAATTCCTGTCAAGTATCGTCTTTACGAAAGTAAAAAAAAATTCGGCAGCGAAAGTCGCGAAACTGGTTTGCCGGCAGCTTGGGACCTCGTTACTTGTAAAATTAAATCACTGCAAGACCTCAAATAGGTACTCTGTCTTCCGGTTGCTCGGGGTAACTATGACTTTATGTCGTCAAACCACTCGGTTTGTCTCGGTACCATAAATGCTGATGTAATAAGAGTTCGAGACGGTTGGAAATTAAAAAAATTATACTAAATGCGATTAAATTTCGTAAAATACACTGTCGCAGCCACAAACATAACGGGACGTAGAAAAATCGCGATAGCTTCCGAAGTAGTTTAAATATATCGCTCGTATGATTAAATAGATAGTAAAAGAAGGCAGCACTTTTAGAACAATAGGAGGATCTTACTTCAGGTTCAAATAGTACTCCAGCGATTTCGAGAGACCGGAAATAAAGAGGACCAGACAATGGCAAGCCGAGATGCACAACTATACGAAAAGATCAGTTCATCGTAAGCAGTTATGCTAAGAAATATACAGCGATATCACATGGCTGTTCCAAATTCAAACAGGCGTCAAAAAATTCACCACCGAAAGGTGGCACGGTGACACGCTTCTACGATGACTTCTTGAAGCTGATGTAAAGCAGCAACTGTTTCCAAACTCAAAGAACATAGGTTGCCAGGCTACGGTCTCGCGAGCCCGTCCAAAGTTGTTTATGTGTAATGTTGTAATTAGTCCTTTTGCTTATTTACATGTGATGGGAGACGAAGAGTATATAAACGAACACGAGAACAACTATAACAGCCGTGTTTTTTTTAGGAAATTGTCATGTGAGAGAATCAATAATGGATGGAATATCTTTAGTGTGTCTGATGTTTTTAAGATATGAGTCGGTTTTAAATAAGCATTCTAGTCCTTTCTTGGTGTATGTGGGCGCCATTTCCATTATATAATTAATTCGATAATACCCAGCACCACATTGTTTATTTCGTCCCAATGCGTATATTAAAGATGTTTTTGTTATTTGCATGGAGTGGCTAGCTCGCAGCCTAGACTTTCCCTCCCTTAGAACATGTAGGGGACGAGCTTAAATGTTTTAGACAAAGCTTTCCAGCTCCAGCTACCTTTTTTTTATGTGAAAAGTTGCCAAGCGAGCAGACGGTTCACCTGATGTTAAGTGAATACCGCCGCTCATGGACATCTATTACACCCGAGGGTTGCATATGTGTTGATAAACTTTGAAAATTGAGCTTACCTTACCTTACAATAGTAGAATAGTGCGTTAGTCTAATGATGGTCAAACAGACAAACATCGTATTAAACATTTAGTTTACACAAATCGTCTTAATGGTTATACGGGCTCGTGGATATAAAACAACTTGTTGAGAACTTTAAATCTGTAAGTGAAAACCATAATTTAACTGTAGAATTAAATAGTATAAAAGGAGAAATAAAGGGCGATAAGAGTCTTTCATAATCTATCACATTGAAATTATAGTCTTTACCTTACATCAGGATTTGTATTACGTTGTAAATGTAAGTAAAATTACATAATTATATAAAATTATATAAGATCAAATTATGTATTAACCTCCACCACCTCTACCGCCATCTAAACTGGTTTCATGTCAACCGTTGTCGAAAGTGCTATTTCCTGAATTTCAATGTCTGTTACGTTTACGTAGATGTTATTTATATTTTAAATCATATTGAATTAGTACGAGTCGTGATGGAGAAAGTTTATTCCTTCATCTAATCTAGTATATCTGTATATAATGTAGTACGTTTTCACCAATGCCATATAATTTAACATGAGGATATTTCATTAAGTTAATATATATATATATATATATATATATATATATATACACATTTGGCAGTGAGTCATAGTCGGTCATAGATTTCTCCGCTCTGTAAAATACTAGCAAAGACCCCATGCCGATGATAAAGACACTTACTGTGAATACTGTTTAAACTTAAGTAGTTTGTGGTTTACATACTTTAAAAGAAAGTTGGAAATTAATGCGAACACAATCCTCGTGAATGATAAGCGGACATAGACTGACTACCGATAGACATCAATTCTCGACCGAGATGGCCGTGTACGTATTTCGAGAGACCTCAAATGTAAATAGGAAAGTCACATTTCCCACTAGAGTTTAGAATGTGTAATATTTAGTAGCTACTTGAATACGAGTTTCCTTTGAAACGCTCACTCTTTGCCATCCAGGTGTCGGCCGCTCAACATATGCAAGTCAGCGGTGCGGGCACCGGGGGGCATGTGTCCGTGGCCGCGCAGCAGGGGATGTACGCGAACTTCCAGCATCAGGGGAATCCATCCCCTCAGCACCACCAAGGTATGTTCAAAAAGTACTCGATATACGGGGATAATAATTGATATCAGTATGTTTCTGTAAATGTGGAATGCAAAGCTAGGTAATGTCACGAAAAACGATTTCACTCATAATAATTATTGTCTCTTCATGGCGTTCATAGTCGTTCATAATCGTGAGCTTTTATGTTTTCCCGTAATGATAATTCGTTTCACATGAACCTATGTTCATATCTATTCCGCCATTTCAAAACACTGTAGAAAACCTATCTCGTTCACTTTCAATAAAACTAGTACTTTTTAATATTGAGTCGCTTAGCTTACATTTTGTCCAATTTCGACCACAGACCCCTATTATCAGTATCATGTCTATTCGACAGAGGAGGAATCTGATGTGTTTCAGAGCGTTTCTCAATGCATATATTACAAAGAGAATTTCGCATGTTATTGAATGCAACGGATCCAGTTTATGCGTTACCATAAACAGAAGCGTTAGGTATGTTTATTTTTCACAATGCGGTACAACGCACCGCGGAGTATGCGTCGCAACGGCTAGTTTTGTAGCGCGACATACTGATAGTCCATAAAGCGGTGGTCCGTGTGCAGTAGCGTCGCGCATTGCGGTGGTGGCTCTGGATAAATCGGATGGCGCTCGGCCGGGAGGCGCGGAGGGTGCGGAGGTGACGATCCGAGAGGGAATGCATCACGCCGCGCGCTTCGGGGATGACAGCGCGTACAGTGAAGTCTTTATTGTTGCAATCTCAACTGGCTAGGGCCACAATGCGGCCTCAAGTGTCGCGCCGGGGTCCTTCGCCCCTTTGGATCCGGTTTGAGGGCGATTGGGAATTGAGACGTTTGAGACTGGCGCTAGGCGAGATGATGCCTACGTTTATACGTGTGCACTGCATCGTGTATGACAATGCACTTGCGCTAAACTGAAGTAATGGCCCTTTCAAACGAAACTTTATAGGTTGTTTTTTTTGTGTAACATTAAATTCACTTCGGTGATCTTGTGTTATTCTCTTGAATCGTTTCGATATTCCATTTAATTAAATAGGAAGATTTCACGGTTACGTTATCAGTCAGACACGGATTCCAATTTTGTATTTTTTTTTTGAAAATTTAAAGCTTTTTAATTTTGGTGTACCCTTATATTTATTTTTTCTTTTTCTTCGCTGTCTTATTTGTCAGTTTTTTATCGAATAAACATAATATCTGGAGTTAATAACAACACCTTTTAGCCGAAAATCAATAAATGTCTCTTAAAGAATTTTTTTATTTATTTTTATTCGACCGCAGCTCACCCCACACGTTTGAAGCTTTGGTTTTCTTTTTTTTTCTCTTTACATAACCCATCATCGCCGAGATATCGTTATCTGAAACAACCATAATATAGGCTATCTATCGCTTTAAATTATTATATCTGGTATAGCCACTCTGCTCGTACCGATAAGGCACAGATGTCTGTGGGCATGATTGTTGACGCAAAAATTCGTAGGATTATTGCTTATATTTTCAGAGCCCACACTTACCGATGATAAGCTTCGTGCACCCACTACTTCCGACAGTCTTCGGTAAAAAAGTGTTATGTTTCACATTCCATTTCATTACGCACATCCTTACATGACAACTTGCTACATCAATGACAACTTGCTACATCGTGTTCTTAAGTCGTTTCTCCATCTAGTGGGTGGTATTACTTTGTCGATTACGTTTACTTGTACAAACACGAAATGACTGCCCGTAAATCTTATTTTTGTTTTGGAAACAATAATTGCTTTTCTTTTAGGGTTCCGTACCCAAAGGGTAAAAAGGGTATTACTAAGACTCCGCTGGCTATCTTTCCGTCAGTCACTAGGCTGTATCTCATGAACCGGGATATTTCGATAGTTGAAATTTTCACAGATGATGTATTTCTGTTGCTGAATCGAATAAAAATATATTTAAGTGGGGCTCCCATTCAACAGACATGATATTTTGCCGTTTTTATAGATAATAATAGCAAAACAACGATTATTCTTATTATTCTATTATTTATTCTTATGTACGAACTATATTTTTTAATCCCACCACATCGCTGGTGGTGTGAACCTATCACGGGCTATGCCAAGTGGGTTGGTTCATTATGTAGTGTTGTAGGTGTTTGAGTGGTGGGTGTAAGGAATCGCCGGACTATTGAGCATGTGTCGATAATGACCGATTTCTGTAGTTGAATGTATATATTTTTTTGTAAACCTAGTTCTTTAAGAGATGTAATTAAAGAGTTTGGAACTAGTCCTGTGGATGAAACAATGATGGGTACGATTTTAACCGTATGCTGATGCCACATTTGACGTATTTCATCTGCAAGTGGGATGTATTTTTGTATTTTTTCTGTATATTTCTTTCTTTTATTTTCAGAATTTGGTATGGATATGTCTATGAGATATGTTACTTTATCGCCTTTTAGTGTTAGAGTAATATCTGGTCTATTATTGGTGATAGTTTTATCGGTTATTATATCGCGGTCCCAATAAACTTTTGCTTGTCCGTTATTTAGTATATTTAAAGGTTTATATTTATAATATGGTTCTGCTGTATCTAATAATTTGTATTTTAGTGCTAATATTCGATGTATTTGTTTAGCTACATTATTATGCCGCTCTGTATATTGTTTAGTTGCCAAAAATGAGCAGCCTCTTGTAATGTGGTCTATTGTCTCTTGATTAATGTTACATAACCTGCATTTATCCGATACTACTGCTGGATTCTTAATTATGTACTTCTGATAATTTTTGGTGTTTTTATTTATTCTATTATTCTTCTTATTATTAACAACAATTATTATTTCGAAAATATGCAGGTTTCCTCACGATGGTTTCCTTCACCGCCGAGCACGTGATAATTCAGAACTTAAAATTAACAATTTCATTGGTGCCGGCACCGGGGATCGAACTCAGGTTGCTCAAGTATGTTGAATTAAAGGCGAGCGCTCGGACACTGAGCTATCACGGCTCTTGGAGTCTATAGAATTGCAATCTAATTACACTAATTGGCGTAATTTCAGTGCCTCAGTTTCGGTGCATTTTTATATTTGGTATTTTTATATAATATCATTGCTTACGGACTTAACTGGACGCGCCTAGCCGAATTCTATGTTGTAAGTGAGCGTGGTGATGGAGACCTATCTCCAGCATTTGACTGACGACGAAGTAATATCACGTCTTGAAATTTATGTGGCAATGCTCAATAGAAGAATAATTTGCAGGCGCCGGTTGCGACACGTACTCCGTCTCCCAGTCGCAGAGCCTCAATTTCTCGCAAGCGATGCGGAACAGGTCCTCCGGGCCTCAGCAGCAACAACAACAACAACAGCAGCAGCAACAACAGCAGCAACAACAACAACAGTCCACCGGACCCGGACCACCTGCTCTCGGTAAGACCCCTAATCCCCAACCCTCGAGCCCTAATAAAAACCGTTTCTCCTACTAGGACAACTACGTCTGCAGATCACGTCTATTGATATGAAAATAAATTGTGAAGCTACTTTATCACATTTTACTACTAAACCGATGCGTTACGGGTGTTACCGGTATTTACGTAAACGCGGAATGTGATCGAAGACACGTAAGCACCCGTGATATATGAATGTAACTACGTAACCGGCTGTGCAGCCGGTGAAAATGTGAAAGTACCGAAGTAACAACAATTTATATCTATGAGCATACGATAGCACTATTTTTTTTAAACGAAATCCCAAGTTTTTATCGATTAATATTGTAATTCACTAAAATAAAGTTCCTATTAATGTTTTTTTTTTATATGTGGAGATTCTTTGACATGACTCCCTAACAGAGGTGATTTGCGAGGGGCACGGCCCAAATAATTTACTCCAAGCCTCCAACTGTCGTCCCTAGAGGGCTGCCAATTGTTTAGCCGAAAAAAGTCCGGAATCCATAGAGCGTTTGAATGCAGCCGTTCCGCGGCACCCGCCAGGCGTCGCGGCGGCGGGCGTGTCGCGCGAGCAGCAGGCCAAAATGCTGCAGCAGCAGCAGCAGCAGATGCTGCGCGCGCAGCAGCAGATGCGCCCCCCGCCGCCGGAGTACAAGGCGCGCTTCGGCGCGGCGCCCGCGCCCCGCCGCGCCCCCGCGCCCCGCCCCTTCGCCCCCCACGCGCGCCAGTACGCGCCCGAGTGGCGGCACATGCTCATGCAGCAGCAGCCGCGCCAGCAGTTCCCACACCACCACCAAGGTACGCGGGCGCTTTCGAATAGAGGAACACCAAAACTGTTTAAAACTTACAGTTTGACGAATGCCTATTTTCTAGGGATGTAGAAAAAGTATCGATATATCGTTTGAATTTCGATCAGATATATCGATATGAAATATTCAATATCGATCTCATATCAAAAAAGACATTTTTTCTTAAATACGAATCCGGCACAGAGTCCGTAGATGTCAAATGACATCACACTTGACATTTTTTTTGACAACGGGTCCTAAACAGAAAATATCGATATATCGATATTTTATCTTCGATATGTCGAAGCCGATATTGATATTTTTATAAATATCGATATATACCTTCACTTTCGACATCCCTACTTTTTTCTGACTATACACCAAAGTACGCGCAGGCGGATTCAAATAAAGAACAGGCTACAGTCAAGTTGATTCATACTAAAATAGTTTAAAACTAAAGTTTGACATTAGTCATGTTTAAAGGACCGAATGCCTTTTTTTTCTAACTGTACACCATTGTGAAAGATATAAGCGACTGATTACTGCGCGAGAGCAACCTGCGAACGCTCACGACGCGTGTAATCCCTTCAACAAATATTAACTGTATACTGGATATTGACTCGGATGAATTTAACGGGGAATTCAAATTTTGCATGTTCTATTCATGCAACATTAATGTAAAATGTAATAAAAAAATAAATTTTACACGATTTCTTAAAAATATTAAACATATCAGTTTACATTCATAACCATGTAAGTGTTCGCGTTGACAGTTTAGAATTGCAAATATCTAACAATCAAATTGATGCCGACAATAGTTTTTCACAATTTGCCTACATAAAATTGCAACGAATGTTACAAACACTAAGTTAATGAATATTTTATGAGATTCGTAATAACCAAACACAGCTAGGTGAAAATCCTAGTTTCCAAATAGCACAAATATGTATCTTGTTATGACTTTAAATATAATTAGTTGTGTAATAACGAAGTCTTAGCCTTATTATTTTTAAATTGCGAATATAGTCTAAAGTCTAAATATTTATTTCATAAAATCGTGTCCGAATTTCCGTTAATAAGATCTTATATAGGTGTTTATGCGTCATTTAATTATCTTACGGTGAGTAATCGTCGAATAAGATTGTTCACTTAAACGCAAATCCCATTTAGCTTAGAATATAGTATGGAATTTTTATAATTAATTCATATAATGAAGTTCTTATCAGATCACGCGATTTCTGGTCTTGTTAAACAGGATCGTATGACATTATTCTTTACATATATAATACGGAACACGTTTTGCAATTTAGCCTATGGAAGGTTTTCTAAGAATTCGTGCGCTTAGGCAACGTATTATTCAACGGTCTATTTTGTGATACGTAACGCTATTATGCCTAGTTCTCCGACAACTCTGAACCATTGTAAACATGAACATTTATAGCATATTTCGGGTTAATATTTATTAATATTTTCTTTTTCATGTGGAATAATGTAACACGTTGCGTATTTCAGCCTCACGTATGAATTTTTGACTGATGTCCATAATGGCCAAATGTAATCGATGATTTTAAATTTAGTTCTTAATAAGGCAGTCGGTATTAAATGTTCAAGTTTTCCACTTTAAAAAAAAAAAAAACTGGCCAGTGCATGACTGCCATTGTTTGATCGTAAGTAGTGCTGCAGCCGTAAACGCTCCGCTAGCTCAGTCAACACTTTTTCACCCTTTATACTCGAGGACGTTATATTCGAACGGTATGACGGAAGTGGACAATCTTTTATAAGTCTAGTTAAAAAAGTAAGACCTGTATAACATGCCTCTTTGCTAAGCAAAGGCACCTGTGTACAGGGCGTATTAGGGCATATTCCGCCACGCGACTCCACTGCAGATTGGCGGACTTCATATGCTTTCGAAATATATTTTTTTAATATTCCTCATGATGTTTTCCTTCACCGTTGAGCACGTCATCAAACAGCAATTAAAATTGCAATTAACAATTTCATTGGTGCCTGCACCGGGATTTGAACTCGGGTTGCTCGAGTGTATCGAGTTAAAAGTCAACGCCACAACAGCCGTCCGAATATAGGCGATAATTTTATACCCATGCCGGTTATAGCCGATAATTTTATAAACTTTAATCGTGTTTAACATCCACTTGACAGGTTTCGGCATGGCCGGCATGGGCGGTGGCATGACGCAGCAACAGCAGCAGCAACAGATGCAGCTGCAACAGGCGCGCCTGCAGCAACACCAGCTGCTGCAACACCAGCAGCAAAGGTAAAGTGGCAACACTAATGGACGCTGCAGAATGAACAGTGGCAACATCCCACGAACGCCAATACATATTTTTTTTTATACGAGAAGTGGCAAACGAGCTGGCGTTTCACCAGATGTTAAGTGATAACCTCCGCCCATTGACATTTGGCAACACCCGTATAGTTGCAGATGCGTTGCCGGATTTTAATAAAGTGGGCCCCGGCAATCCTAATGGATGCTGCAGAACGAACAATGGCGACTTCCTACGAACGCCAATACATTTATCACAGCAATAAATGGTGATAATATTATTATGAACGATAAAGTTCGTCCTCTCCTTATGCCGCAAAGCTGAACAGATTTGCATGTGATTTGTAACTAATAAGCCACAGAATAACACATGGGTTGCGGTTTTTTGCGCTATATAAATTATACAAACATTCATCTGTTGTGGTCGAAATCAAAATAAATATCAAAATTGTCAAACTTAATAGATAAAATAAAGTGAAAATACCTAGTCATGTCATTAAGAAGTCATAAAATGGAAGTAAAATAATATACGTACATGATTTACTATTCGCACTTCGATCCCAGTTTTGTATATGTCATTAAAATATTGTATTAATTAAATACCTAATTAACCCACATGATGCGTTATCAGTGTTGCCATTCCGATATCTCCTTAGGTTCACCTCGTTGCCATTTCATGTCCATGCGACAGGCCGAATGAAATGAATGTAATATCTAATAAATTAAATAAAAACATGACTCCTCTTTTTTCAGGGCGTCGAACCAACAACAATCGCCGATGTCGCATCTCATCATGCAGCAAAATCAAATGATGAGCGTTCAAGGACAGGTAAGTTAATCCTGTTTCTCACATCTTTAATCCATCTATATATCGTAAATTCGTGATAAATAAGAATGCTTAGACGTCGGGACTAAAGCTCGTGATCTAATGTGCTGGGTTCGAATATTATCGTAGAAATTTCTTTGTTATAAGTTTTTGATTTTCAAGTCATTACCTATGTACATTTTCTTTCCATATGCCCTTCCCGTTTCTCTATCGCTTTGGGAGCTAATAGTTTTTAGAGGGAGTTTTTTTAATTAAATTTAAATGTGCAGCGACGTTAGTCACAATTGTAATAACTTTTATTAGCAACAGTTTTGACAGTGCACAGCTAAAATTAAAAAAAATACTTTATGAAAGAAAAAAAAAACTTATTATTATTATCTCTTATCCTTTAAACGAGCAATTCTTGCATATATATATATATATATAATCGGAATCTCGGAAACGGCTGCAGCGATTTTCATGAAATTTAGTATGTGCGTAGATTCGGGGGCGAAAAATCGATCTAGCTAAGTTTCATTTTTAGAAAATGTCCTTTTATCCCTGTTTTCAGGGAATGAAAAATATCATTCGAATATGACGGTAAATTTCGCCGCAAAAAAAATGTTATAATAACTCGGTCGGTAATCGGGCGGCCCCAAAACAGACGGCCGCGGTTCGTGTCACGATCATATTTTTTAATTTTTTTCGATTCCAGATCATTGCTTTCTTTATTTTTTTGTCCATCCAGATGATTTTGTTCTTTTTTCCCTTTTTTTTAAAGTTCTTTCTTTTGTGAAAAACACCAGTTCAGATTTTCTTATTATTACGTCGGTAAGATCGAAAAATATTATGCATATTTCATTACTTACTCAGTCATTTGTATCTAAATGTAATTTCCTAAATACACGACTTACCAAAAAAAAAAACAAACCTCCTCCAGGTACTTATTATTAATTGTAATGAGCGAAAAATATCGTAGTGCGCGCTGATTTAGAGGCGATTCACGGAAACTTCATTCATTGAATCATAAAAGTACAAACATTTTGTCGTGTGACTACAGATGCCAAACATCCACATGAGCCAGTCGCAGAGCATGTCCATGCAGCAGGCGGGGATGGGCGGCATGGGCGGAGCGCACCAGGGCAACCCCATGCAGGGGCAGCCGGGGCCCATGCACGCGCAGGGCAGCCCCATGCAGCAGCAGAACTCCATGATGGCGCAGAACGGGCCGATGCACACCCAGAGCAACAGCGCGCAGCACCCCTTCCCCTCGCTGCACACCACGTCTTCCTTCGCGGGGCCGGCTGCCGACTTCAACTTCGACTTCCTCGACAGCATGCCTTCCACGGACGCCAGCAACCTCACCGCTCAGGAGCTGTTGAACTCCCTAGACAATTCCTTCTTGAACGATATTCTGTAAACGCATTCATCACACTAGCCAGTATAGAACCCCCCCACTAGACCCATTCTCGTAGACGATTAGACGGATCCGTTTTGTGTTCCATATAGGTACGCGATTTAAATAATACAAACTTCACGACCAATGTGCAACAAATATAATGACCAAAGTTATTCAAACAGGAATTTAACATCGGAATTGAACGCGTTCCAAGTAACGGTGTATAAGTATTGGAAATCTTCCGAAGTCACGACGTCTTCGGGCATTGTTTTATAGACTATTTATTGTGAAATATCCATTTCAAAGTATTTATAGGATTTATTATTGTTAATACGTTTGTAAATATTTTATTGTAGTTATAAGACGTTTGTTCGATAACGAACTATTGAAATATAATAAGCCGTAGTCACAGATTACCCTTGCGTGTCGTTATGATTTTTGTAATAGATTTTTTTGTTGCAGAAAAGTGTTTATACAACTACATATATACTATGTATATTTATTTTTCAATTATTCGTATAGCAACTAATAGCACAAAAGACATTTCAGCAATTTTATTTACCTACTATTTAATCGTATTTATGAGGAGTGAATGAATTGGGGCAATACATTTAAACAGGATGCGCGATAATATTGCCGAGTAACTTTTAAATTTTGCTTAGGCTCCTTCACTGTTACCTTAAGGCGGGACCAAACATTGTGAAAACAAGATTTCTTAAGGTAGCTAATGTGTCAATTAGAGACGTAAACTGCCTGTTTTCAAATTACTGATAATATTTTTTCTATATTTGAATCTTTGAAACCTTTTTCCACTCTTTTTCTCCAAGTTCTTCCGAAATACGGTGTTGATATAAAATATCTTTTTCCACATCCTAGATAAAACTGTTAGAACTATTAGTAATAAAACGTTGTTTATTCATTTTGATAATATTAAATATCTAGCATGTTCAGAAATTAAATACTATGGACGTTTATTCTTAGGTATATAATTCATACAGAATTCATTTAATTAATTATGGACCTATATAAATTGAAGTAAAAAAATTCAATTTATATAGGTCCATTTCTCGTCGGTAATTCTGCAAAAAATAACATAACCGTGAAAAATCTCAAAAGAGTTCGTATGAACTGCTTCTCTGTATTTAAATGTTATGCATTTTTATGTAGGAACTAAAAACTGCCACGTAGAAAGAGCGTCGCACAATACACGCGCTGTCTGTTCCCGCCTTAAATGATGTCTCCACTATTACGGCTAAGAGTCGAAGTGTTGAATTATGTCATTGGTATGTTGAACGCTTTGAGGTCAATATGTAAGGTTCGCCTATCCGCCTGATAATGGCCCAATCTATTTTCTAATCATAGTGCAAATGTATATTATATCGATTTAATAACGATAAGTTTATTTTAAGATCATTCCTGAACCTAAGATGTAATTAGTAGATTTTACTGTGATGTCGGTCTCAATGGTCAATAGGTAATATTATAGCATCAATTATTATAAATAGATAGATTATTGTTATCGTTAAGGATCTCATGTATCATTTAGGGAGGGGTTTTTGCGGGATTCTGGAATATTCAGGATTTTGGTTTCACTTATTATTTTCTTATTTTGGAAAAGTTTTTATTAAATTTGTAAATTTTTCATATGAAAATCATTTATTTTTACAAAGTCGGGATTAATATATGAGTAAAATACCGTATTTATTAATGGGTAGCTTATTTAAGAGTAATGAAATATACAGATAGTATGATTATCCCCCGTATTGAGAAATCTGCAATAAAATAGCTCTCTGTTACAACTGTAAAACTAATTGTGGACGCTAGACACATTCCAGAGCGATTGTTAACACTGTTTTAACTTTAGGACCAATTTTTGAATGTTCTTTTGAAAATAATATTGCATATTGAGTATAGCATTTTTATTTCATTACACCTCTCTGTTTTCCTCCTGTCTTTTTATTTCATTAAGGCATAAATATAACTTTGGAAAGTTGTTGAGTAACAGAAACAAGTAAATGCTGGTTGTACATTTTTCCATGAAACAATAGAGACGACATGAGTTTATTAAACATGAACATAAATTCTGATACGTTTTATAATAGGTTCAAAAGTCAAACACAGGTATCGAATAATATAATTCGGTTTAATAAAGCGAGACTAGTAAGTTATCAAAAGTTAATTGTACGATTTTATTACATTGCAATGTTACAACATTTATTACATTACTACAAACTATTTAAAATATCATTTAATTCCGTGGAGATAATATTTTGTATAAACGGTTTTTTATTCAAACAATAGGCACATTTATCGTTTTTATCCATAAGTCTTCTACCACATTATAGAGTCTGCTTGATGTTTATACAAATAATCAGAGAATTTCTCTAATTTCAATTCTAAAGCATTTATCTCCACGGCCAATTCTCATACGATCTCATTCGATTTTCCTTGAAAAATTTTTGGATTCCGTACTCTTGGACTGTAGTAATTGTTGGGCTGAATATACTTTGTGGTTATTGGCGAGTCGTGTAAACCAGCTATTTTTCTTTCGTAAATGCTTTCGTTGGTTTTATTATCTGTGGTCTTCATTACGAAAGAACGCACATACTGTTTGCGCCTCCGCAAACGAATGCATGAAAATACAGTGCTCAACAGAATGCCCAGTTTAAAAATTGCCATTACAAAAAGGGCTAGCACAAATGTAAGATATTGTTTTTGATACCAGTCTTCGATTTTACTCAGACAACCCTGAAAAAATAATTATTACTATGACAACATATCGCATTTTTAACAAGGCTTATGGTTAACATTATTAATTTAGAACATTAGAAATAATAAGAATGCTGTCATTTTTAGAATAGAGCTATACCGCAAGCCAAGGGCGGATCCAGCTTTGGTGCCAGGGGGGGGGGGGGGTCACGTAGTCGTGGTCAAGTGATAAGAAGTTATAATTTAATTTTTATAATCATAGATACGAGTTAAAAGTAGGTATTTTGAAACCACTTCAAAAAGAAGGAGGTAATCAATTCGGATGTTTATATTTTTTGTTATGTATGTTCGGGAATAACTTCGGCCTATACAGTGTGTAGTTACAACCGCGACAGTTAATGAACACACATATGAAAATGAAAATGAAAATATTACTTATTAATATATATAGGTTGACAATTGATACAATACTAACCCCCACACTAGGCGCAGCTTGTCCTATGGGGGAAGTTAATGATTTCCACAATTTAGTCTCAGCACACGAACGGTAAACACAATTTGAAACCACTTAGAATAACAAAAAAGAGAAATTAAAAAAAAAATTAAAAGAAAATCTAGAATTGGTTAAACATAATTATAAAAAACAAAGATGTGATAATAATGACAATAATATTAATGATGAATAGTTATAAACGAATGTGTGCATGTGTGTCTGTGTTACGTGTGCATATGCGTATGCGTGAGTGTATGTGTGCGTGCCGGCGCACGTTTGTGTGTGCATGTGTGTCTATGGATACTAAATTCACTTTTCGATGTTAAAATTGCCAATGATAAATCTCATTTTGCAACTTTAATAAAACTCTCTGATTTTTCGTAACTCCAGTTTTCGAGCGTGGTTTTCACTAGTTTTCTCAATTCTCGAATAGAGTTGTTTCTTAATCACAAATACTTACTAGTTTGTTATATATATATATGGGAAGAGAAAATTTCCAAATCTATGTGCGAAAAAGGAAGTCGCCATTATACCAGGCACTTTAAAAACGCGTTTTTGTAGCATATCTCTATAACTATTAGAGTTTATCACGGATTTTTTGTATCTTCTTGTATTAACTGATGTTTTTGCTTTCAGTCTCGAGACTATTAAAGCTTCATCTGACGCAGAACCGGTGGGCTAGCCAGAACTCACGGGTTTGGGCCCTCCGCTGTGGGTAGGGCCACGCATGTGATCATGCGTGCGTTTAACTATGGTGTGTCATCTAAGGGCCATTGAGGTCGTGGTTCGGACCGAAACCCCGATGGCCGTCGACTGTGCAATTAGCTAATCGGTGGCTGGGGGCGGTGAGAACCGCCCCGGAACGCAGGTGTACCTTGTGTACGCGTTGTGTTGGTCTCGCCGTGCTCGGAGGCGAGGGCGAACTAGTGTGTTTACGGATTTGTGAACATGCACTGCTACTCTCATAATGTATAATCTCCTGACGCTCAAAATCTGTGCCTCTTGGTAAAGTGTGTGGTTGGGTATGTGATTGGTTTACCGAGAGCAACTTTTAAGACGCCTCTTTGCGCTCTTTCGAGAGGGAGAAGAGTTGAAGAAGTGGAACCACCCCAGGCGAGAATGCAGTAGTTCATTAGTGGTTGACACAGAGCTAAGTAAACATACATTATCAATTTACGGTCGACTGTGGCACGAAGGTTTTTCATGACGGGAATTAATTTTAGAACTCGTTTAGTCATTTCTGCTATATGTTCCTGGAATGTGAGTTTTTCATCCAAGATGACACCAAGGTATTTTAGCGATTCTGTTCTTTTAACTTCAGTGCAGTTACAGTTAAGGTTATTTATAAAAGAGCATTGACCAGGGTGTATTTTTATAGAATTAAGGGATTTCGGGGCAGAAGCTGCTGTCTTGTGGAAGCATAAGAACTTAGTTTTTAGGGAATTAAGGGAAAATAGGTTGTAATTTAACCAACTTGATATGTGACCCATTCCGATTTCTGCTTTTTGACGAGCTGTCATCCAAGATGGACTATGGAATATAATGGCAGTATCGTCTGCATAACAGAAAATTTCAGCACTTGGGCATTCTACAGAAGCGATGTCGTTTATGTATAAAAGAAAGAGGGTAGGTCCAAGAATGCTTCCTTGTGGGTACCAAAGGAGACTGGCCTCAGACTGCTTTTCTCTTCAGCGATCTTAACGCACTGTTGTCGATCTGACAGATAGCTACCAAACCATTTAAGGCAATTGCCTCTCACACCATATGCCTCCATTTTCCTCAAAAGTATTGGGATGGAGATTGAGTCAAATTATAGAGGATAACTTTTCAAAATTGTATTAAACATTTACATTCTTTAAACATAAATATTTACCGGGTTATTAAATTTTACAAAACAAACATTTTTGGAACAGCCTCACGTATAAAACTGGAACGTAAAGTTCATTTGTAAAAGTCACGGTGTGTTGCAATGGGTTGAATGAATTTAAAAGATTAAAACATGTAGAAAAATTTAAAAGAGATAAAACATACTGTTAGAAGGAAAGACTTGTAATGCGACGTTTTGGCAACGAATGAAAAAGTGTCTGAAATGAATCAGTAAGTTGTAGTTGTATAGGATGTTACAAATTTTGTTTCTTTTTTTATTTAATTAGTTTGAAAAATATTTTTTTCTATTATGATTTTTTTTAACGTTTGATATTTTTTATGATTATTGGCAAGTAGCGTTAGACGTGTGTTCATTTATTGTCACGGTTGTAACTACACGCTGTATAGACGAATTTGTTAAATTCTTTTTTTTGTTCGTAACAATTCTTGCTTTTTATTATCATATATAATACAGGGTCGCTTTTATAAAGGTGCCCAAATTCATACAGGAGGTTCAAACTCGTTAGTATAACCGTTTACTGAAATAAAAACAAACTTTTTTTTTTATTTGCATTCTATTCCCTTAAAACAGAACTTGTTGACAATGTGGGTAGTCATTCATAAATGCGTCGTATACTTTTGAAACGAACTTGTGTGCGTGTTAGTTATGAATAATCGCGCGTAAAATAAATGGGTTGCCCATAAATCACGCACTTTCTGAGATAAGTTCAAATGAATGTAATTAATTAATTAAGATTGATTTTAAATATTTATCATTTTTTATATAACTTTATTTATGTCTACAATTTAATTTAAAAAAATGGATACACTTAGAAAAGCCTTCCTGTATAGCATTTTTTTAAGTAGCTATTGGTAGGCTTACTTATTTTTGAAATTTCTTTTTATTTCTTCGTTACCAGATTTTATGTAGTGGTATTGGTTATAATATTTTTCAATTGCTCTACTCCGCACGCTGGCTCCACTTCAATGACAAGTAGCCTAAGACGGGACTATCGGGAGACGGGTTAATAATAATATATAATCAACCCAAATGAAAACTAAAATAGCCGTACACATTTCATCGTCCACGTTAAAAAATGTTCATAAATAACAAAAAAAAAATATTTATTCAGTCATTCATTCATTCGTTCATAATATTCAGCGCTCATCCATCTAATCATCTAATCACAGAAATAATCCACATTCATAACAAACGGAAAGAACAAACTTTATTTCCTAAAAATAGGGTCGCATACTCACGTCCACTAAACCACCACCTCTCAACACCCATCAAAAACGGTCCACCCATTAAGACGAATCAAACTCGATGCACTTGTGTTCCTTAATTACTGAGTTCCTATGGCCACATTCCAGCTGTGTCATCAGACCCTGGTTACCATCTAGCACTAAAGAACTCGTCATGACGAATCAAACGAGCCGAGACACAATAGGGTTGCGTCGTTTCTTTACTGCGTTCATATGACTATCTTCCAGCTCCATCATCAGATCAGACCCTGGTAACCATCTAATAATTAAGTACTCGCCAAGACGAATAAAACGAGCCGAAACTCGATGGGGTTAAGTCGTTTCATTACAAAATAGTCATAGGAACCTCATAGAAGATCTGCGTAAAGTACTTTTGCGTTTTGTCTGGTGAGTGAGGTAGCCGGTGCCCACTTTATTATAAGGAGAAAACGCATCTGCAGCCCTATGCATATGTCCACGGACGGCTGAAGATAAGAGCTCCATCATCAGATCCTAGTTACCTATGAAAGACAAACTACTCGTCAATATGATTCAAATGTACCCAAACGCGATGAGGCTCTGTCGTTTCATTGCGAAGTTCCTTTGGCCACCTTTCAGCTCTATCATCAGATCAGCACCATGTCATAAAAATATTGCATTGTCTCGCGATTTACACATGTATACAAAATTTCAGCTCAACCGGTAACCGGGAAGTAGATCAAATTTAATTTGCAAGATTTGAGGACAGACATTAAAATATTGTAAAAATGTGCATAAAATGAAAACTACTTGGCCAAACTATAGTAAATTTTTTGGGACCAAATAAAGTAACTATACTGCATCAAACTAAAGAAGAATCACGTAAATCGGATCATAAATCTTAACGTAATCGGTGTACATACATCGAAAAAATATACCAATCGAATTGAGAAACTCCTCCTTTTGAAGTCGGTTAAAAATATTATATTAATTTAATTAAATATTGAAGGTACTTACATAAAATCTAAAAAAATATATAAAATAATTATGTTTCACAATTTTAATAAGGGGTCCACCTAGGTACTGGACCCAGCCGAGGGGGGGGGTCATGACCCCCACCCCCCCCCCTGGATCCGCCCTTGCCGCAAGCATGGTAACAGTCGCATTCTATTATTTCACCAGAGGATGGAGTTAGGTGTAATCACAAAAAAACTACTTTATGATGGTCGATGATCATTTACCACATATATATAGTTTGAGTTTGGTTGCCACCTTGTCCATAGTAAAAATGCCAAAAAATTGAAACAAACCAATCCAACATTAGAATTGTTACTTTTTTTCAAACATGTTCTAGTACCACGTAGAAAAACCCCCAGATTATCGTTCCCAGCACATCACTATAGTGATCTACAGAGCGAAATCGAAATCATGAGCATCCTTTTAAAGTACCCTATACATGATACTAGTTACATTAAGATTAAACTATGTGCTGAGCACGTTATGGTTACGTACCGGCGCGTGTCTATATGTCGGATTGGGCTGTATGTCTTGACAGCGCGACTGATTCAACGGCACCGGGTTGAGGTAGGACGCGCCCTCTGTCTGTACGCAGCAGCTGAGCGGCACGGACAGGCCGCGGGGCCCGAGCCGCCGCAGCTGCCACACCGACATGTCGTAGTTGCGGGCATCACTCATTCCGCAGCAACGTAACTGGCAACGTGTAGACATCATAAGAGAGCGTTTATTAATATGAATAGTGACTAGTAATGTGTCAACTGTGGTAGGGCTATGCAACAGCTTCGGCTGTCGTACGAATGGGCTGGTCCGTCCGTGTAAGTACCACGATCTCACAGAAGACCGGCTTTGCCCACTTTATTAAAAGGTTGTAATGTATCTGCAACCCTACGAGTGTTGCAAATATCCTTGGGCGGCGGTTATCATTTAACATCAGGTGAACCTTCAGCTAGCTTGCCACCTTCTCACATAAAAAATTATTAACAAAAAACAAAACCTACTTGAAATGTGCCACTCACTATACATTTTCTATTTGTTTTTGAGTAGCTATACTAATGAAATTAATATGGGAACACACGGGGGCTAAACCTAACCCGATTTTTTTAAAGTAATGAACGACGGAGTTTCCATGTAAGTCATCATCGTCCTCTTGCTTTGATCCCACCTAGGTGGCACGGCACAACGTGTTAAAAGTGGTCTTGGCCATGTTTTTTACGACCGGCCGCCTGTCTGACGTCAACCCTCCTCGGGGACCAACATCCAAATTACGAACAATTATCTGTGGCTCACACAATTAATTGTCGCGAGTGGATCGAACCCACGACTCCCGCTGCCGTAGCTAATAGATTAGCAACTGCGCCATCGAGTCACCAGTTTTGGTATGTAATGTAAAAAAAATACAATCGAATTGGAACCTTCTTTTTGACCGCATTCAACGAAGAGCTGCTCGAATCGTCGACGACCAAATCCTGTCCGATCACCTCGATTCTTTGGCCTTGCGTAGGGATGTTGCATCCCTATGCATTTTCTATCGGATATATCATGGGGAGTGCTCTGAGGAATTGTTTGGGTTGATACCTGCTGGTGAATTTCACCATCGTACAACTCGTCAAACCGCCAAGTACCATCGACACCACCTTGATGGTTGGCGTTCCACCACAGTGCGTTTTTCACGAAACTTTCTACCCCGCACAACTACTTTGTGGAACGAGTTGTCGCCAGCAGTATTTCCAGACCGATACGACTTAGGGACCTTCAAGAACAGAGCCTATTCCTTCCTTAAAGGCCGGCAACGCAATTGCGACTCAACCGATGTTGCAAATGTCCGTGGGCTGCGGTGATCGCTTATCACCAGGTGACCCACATGCTCGTTTGCCTCCTATTCCCATAAAAAAAAAAACCACCTATTTTTTTGAAGTCGGCTGAACACATTTTTTTAATGGATAGCATTGCTATCTAATTACACCAATTGGCGATTTTGATTGCCTCAGTTTCGGTGCGCTAGTGTGATATCCACCTCGTATTTGTATATAATATAATTTGATATAACAGTACATAAACGCAGCTCACCTGCGTCTGAGCGAGGTCTACCGCAGCTGTGAATTCCTCGTAATCAGAGACCGCGTAATAGGCTTGCAGAGCGCCAACGGCTCCTCCTCTAGCGCTTTGTAGGCCCTCGCATCGCGGCCACATCGCTGCAAGCACTCCTCCCGCGCACTCGCAGAGCAGTAATGCCAATACGACCAGAAAATACTGCAAATCCATGTCATATTGATTACTATTAGAGCCGTGGTTAGCCGCTCCAGGCTTAGTTGATTCATCGTTTTTGGCACTTTTTGCAAGAGCTAGTTTATATATTGCTTAGCGATGACGTAAAAATTGTATACAAATACGCACGTTACAAATACGCACATCTAAAATGTTAAACTGAACTATGCGTCGGATTAGCGATACGTGTTGCGATACACAGTGCCGAGCATACTCTTGCCCAGCAGTCGAATATGCGTATAGTATAGGCAGTTGTTTTTTTTTTATGTGAGAACGTGGTAACCGAGCTGGCGGTTCACCCGATGTTAAGTGCCAACCGCCGCCCATGGACATTTGCAACTCCCGCAAGGTTGCAGATGCGTTCCCACGTTTTAATAATGTGGGCTCCAGTTACTTTACTCACCACACGAAACGCAGAAATATAACACTTCCACTTCACGCCGGTCTTCTCTGAGGTTGAGATCTCGGTCGGACCTACCCATTCGTGCAACAGCGAAGACTGTCGGGTGGTCCTACCACAGTTAGATTTACAATTAAAAATTACCCATATTGCCGGTAAAACTACGACCACTTTGATATGATACCTACTTTCTTTTAAATAATTGCTGTTGTAAATTAAAAACTTACTACAGTCAGCAAAATATATCCCGGCATATAGGTTGCCCAAATACCCAGGGTGGATATAAAGCAAATGGTTAAACCACCGGCTAGCAACCCAAGAGCTATGTAGTAGAACGGCGGTTCAGGTAGACCGCCATCTGGTACCGTCAGAAGCGTTGATAACAAAATTCTTTGGGTGTCGCACAATAGAAGGAATCCGCATATCACTTTAACAAATCCACAGCCCTTTAAAAAAACGTATATTATGAAATAGTTTCGTAAATAATGAGTCTAAAGAAATTTCAATTCACTCGATGCTTACAAAAAATATTGTGTTAAAACACCCGAAAAGCACTTTTGCACTGGCAACCTTTTTGAGCTTCATCGATTAATTTTGGGTGCAATTTACGATAAATTATTATTTTTTTAATCAAACAATTCCGTCTACAAACACAGCGTAGCAATAATGCAAGTGACGCGAGCGTTATAGTGAGTTTTGTGCGTAAAAATGTACGATGAATAGATTTGTCGGTTTTAGGGAGATACGCTCCGATGAACAGGTGGGGTGACTAATAATTAAGGCAGTTTTGTTTAAAATGAATGCATGAGTTACGTCCCCACATGTACACTGAACAAGTTCGTCGTACATAGGATGCTGATGAAAGTGATAAATACGAAACATAAATAATTGAACAGATTAACTTGATAAAATAAATTTATTGCTTATAAAATATGTTTTAAAAGTCAATATCCTTCTTCCTAAATCCTCCACAACCAGTTGCTTTCGGCACTGCTGTAATGTCATCTTGCTCTCTTTCGCTAGACTCTTGCAATTCTGAAACCACAAGTGATTACCAATGTACTTAATATATATGAAATCATAGTGTAAACTTGCTTACCACAAATTGCGAGTTGCTAAACAGATATGCAGCTAACGTCAAAACGCGCCACGTAATATGTGAAAAGTTCAATTGGGCTTATTAGATTAAATTTTTACATTGAAAACCTCTTAAAATTGTAGGTTCATCGTAGTTAGGACAGAGTTAACAGTATCTCATTCTTTATGGTTAATTTAAATTTTAGCGCTAGTCAAGATGATACTTTAAAATGAGGTATTTAAGGTGTGTTGTAGATAAATGACAAAAATTTTCGGTACCGCGGCATTTGAACCGGATGACGCAGGTTCGAATCCCGCAGCGCCGAAAGTTTTTGTTCATTTATCTACAAAATTCACACTTTAAATTATCCGACTGTTTTTCCTTTTTGCCGTAAAATTTTCAACAAGTTTTGAATATAATTGTACCGTATTTGAGGATTGGTTAGTGGCTGTATTCGAAAATAAATATAAAACTCGCACCTAGCAGCAAGAACTAATTTTTCGGCAATCTTTACATGACTTTCTTCTCTTGCACATATTATATTCATGATGGTAAGTCGAAATTACAAATATGCATACAAACTAGTGTGATCAAGATCTACAAAAACGATTTATGTCAACACACACACAGACACACGCACTCACGCACCCACGCACGCACGCACGCACGCACGCACGCACGAACGCACGCACGCACGCACACACACACACACAAATACTACGCAGCGACAAGCGCACGTACACACACATATGCGGCTAACAAGTAATTGTGGATTAACAAGTTGATCTGAAATTATGAATGGATTAATTTAAGACTTTTTCTTACAAAAATCTTGCCATATGATGTTAGTCTTAAGGGCGTGTTTGCAAAATCTCGCGGAATCTGCAAAAATAGGGCGTTTTCAGGTACATTTTGCGGCAAAACGAAACGAATATAATGTAAGTAATAATTATCACATATAGATCCCTCCTTCATCTTCAAATGGTAGATAGTTTTTTAATCGAAAATTTTGGTTTATAATATTGTAAATGAGAATTTTCGTGACCACTTCACTCAAAATGGACGATATCCTGTTGGGTTTAGGAACATTTTTCTCTTATTTAATAACATATTTTTTTTATTTAAAAATATTTTATGTAAGCACACATGTTCAACTCAAAAAGGTAGCTACATTACGTATCAAAATTGTTGAAATTAGTTTCAGAAAAAAATAAAGATTAAAATCTATTTCTTTCACATTTATATCTTACGCGTGAATCTTAAGTGATTGACATAAAGGTTATTTTACTGGTCACTTTTTTGATTTATTCCCACAAAAATATTTAAAGAAATATTAGTCGGCGCTCGGCTGCCGTCATGAGTGGTCACTATGTCGCTTATAAACAGCAGCTCGTGAGGAAAAAGATCGCTGTACGAATACAAAATATTTGTCGTAACAAAGTTGATACTTTACACATCATGTTCGGACTTCGGACTACGAACGACAAAAGTAAACTATAATTCACACTTTGTCATATTTTTACTAGAAATTAGTAGGGGTTAAAAATTCATATTTCGTTACGGACTTGATGGAGTGACCTGAAGGTGTACTTCGAGAACTGCTACTGGAACTAACGGACGAGATGAGCTATGTGTGTCGAGTTTGGGCTTGTTTTGTTAGGTATGGTGAGACCTTGCCTTCTGATTTGTTGGAGTGACCTGATGGTGTACTGCGAGAACTGCTACTGGAACTAATAGACGAGATGAGTTATGTGTATCGAGTTTGGGCTTGTTTTGTTAGGTATGGTGAGATCTTGCCTTCTGACTAGATGGAGTGACCTGAAGGTGTACTTCGAGAACTGCTACTGGAACTAACGGACGAGATGAGTTATGTGTGTCGAGTTTGGGCTTGTTTTTTAGGTATGGTGAGACCTTGCCTTCTGACTAGATGGAGTGACCTGAAGGTGTACTTTGAGAACTGCTACTGGAACTAACGGACGAGATGAGCTATGTGTGTCGAGTTTGGGCTTGTTTTGTTAGGTATGGTGAGACCTTGCCTTCTGATTTGTTGGAGTGACCTGAAGGTGTACTTCGAGAACTGCTACTGGAACTAACAGACGAGATGAGTTATGTGTGTCGAGTTTGGGCTTGTTTTGTTAGGTATGGTGAGACCTTGCCTTCTGACTAGATGGAGTGACCTGAAGGTGTACTTTGAGAACTGCTACTGGAACTAACGGACGAGATGAGCTATGTGTGTCGAGTTTGGGCTTGTTTTTTAGGTATGGTGAGACCTTGCCTTCTGACTAGATGGAGTGACCTGAAGGTGTACTTCGAGAACTGCTACTGGAACTAACAGACGAGATGAGCTATGTGTGTCGAGTTTGGGCTTGTTTTGTTAGTTTTTTTGAGACCTTACCTTTGAAATTGATGTATTGGCATGAAGGTGTAAGAATACAGTAAAAAAAAGTTATTTAAAATATGGAAAACTATGGAACTACGTATTCTACATCAATTCTGTGTATAAATATTTGTGAAACATGTTAATATAAAAAAAAAATTGAAATTTAGATTATAATTATGAGTCAATAGAGTATAAATATAAGTCAAAGTAAATCACAAGATCAAAGTAATGAATTTTTAATATAAACATTCTACATTACTTAGACATGATTAAATATTTTAAATGTCTAATTTGACAGTGTACAGATTTTAGAATTTTCGTTTAAATTTAAATACTCCGGCAGGCCTATGAACCTATCTGGTATTTTTCTTTATTTCCATTATAAATTCTTATTTCCATGCAGCCAAATGTTGGCCAAAAGTACACCACATGTAGAAAAGTTGTATGGATAATTAAAAATACAAGTAATACAAAACAAATTTGCACACTTGCAAATTGTAAGATTAGGCATGTCTAAAAGGTCATTTTTTTGTATGTTTCAATGAATAGGTGTAATAAACATGTACTTCAAAAGTTTCGAACGACAGCTATGTGGCAAACTTTTTGTTTCATGTTTATGACCCCATTTATCGTTTATTGTTTTGTCGTGTTTCGCACTGATCAACTTTTATGATCATGGATTCTGCCTAAAATAATACTTTATTTAAAATAAGTAAGAACGTCTTTAAAATAGGCAAAACACGAAAAAAAAAATAGTTATGTAAAAATGTAGTGGGTCTCAACTTAAATTATCAAAGACTTATTTTTATGGCACAGTTATCACATACAACATTTATACCTCTTATAACTCAATTGTTGTTTCAGATGCCAAAGCCTAAAACGATAAAATTTTAGCAGGCTACTACTTCTATATAGATAACAAAAATAATTAAATGATAGAGAACTATAAAGAAAAATCACAAAGATCCGACACAGAGCACCCCGACTCCGTGTGGTCTTCCCTATCCCTAGAGTGAACATCAAAAGGCGGAGCCAGAACCTCGTGTCGGAGGTATAAATTGGCCTCGCGGGCTTGCTCCACCCAGGATCGACATAGCGACAGTTCTGCGAAGAGCATGGAAGAGTCAAATTAAAAATGAAACAATATTTTTTAAGCTATTGCACAGCTTTTATCGCGGGCTTTGAGCGCGGCGAACGAATCAATAAATTCCGTAACGAAAATAAAACCTAACACCACCCCACTCCGCCTACCACGCAAGAGGAAAGATTTGATTGTTTTTATGCATTGAATAGGCTCCTAAACCACTGAACAGATTTGAAAATTTCTTTCACTGTCTCGAAGCTACTTATCCCCGTATGACATAGGATATATAAAATTTTCAAAAAACTAGGAATCCTTACTAAAACTTGATAATGTAAACCAAAGTGTACAAAAATTACCTAAAATATTGTTTGCATCGCGTGCGCTGCAAAAAACTATTGATAATTGTATAAAATAATGTACTACGAATTTGCAGAACACATCATTATTTATAAAAAGTGTTGCGACAGTATATGTCTAACTATTATAGTTATGCCACAATAAGTATTCTTTTACTTTAAAATTTTGATTGAAATGCCGCCGCTAGAAAAGGCTCTTTATTTGTATCTTGGTATTAATTCTTATAAAAATAAATTACTTTATATTTAAGACTGTTTCAATATCTTTATATAACTTTTTGAATGATTAAATTCGGACATTCCATTCGAAAGATATCACAAGTTTAAAAATGTTAGTATATTGTAATTTAACTATCCAGAGCTTAGTGACTGACTTAGTAGTTCTTATCATTTTTGTAAATAATATAAATTAAATATATATTATTAATTATAATATATATTAATTATTATATTATTAAAATATTATTATTTATTAACATAAATATAAATATCAAAGAAAAAAATACTGCATAATTAAATAATTATAATCGCATAAGTTGATAAAAAATGCTATGCTGTAGCTTTACCCCAGCTGAGCCGAGTGCGACAGGTTTTTTTTTATAAAAATGTTTTTTTAATTTTTACTAGTTTGTTTCCTTCGTTTTATTATTTCATTTTTAGTTTCTAGATACTAGCCCGGCTTCGTACGCCATGCTATTTCCAATTCATTTACAGAAAATTATTTTTTTGAACATTTAGCATGAATATTATTGAATTAGCAAAATGCATTCAGAATACCATACAAAGTATTTTACTCAATTCGTTAGCGGGTTTTACCTAATTATCTGCCTACATAGCTACCTTCCTACGTACCCTACCATTACCTACCTATCAAGCTATCTACCTACCGCACGCATAATCAACATGTATAAAACAAGCTTCGTTTACTTCATAAAAATTAATTAAAACATAAAATTAAATTATATACATAATTAATTAAAACGCAAATTATCAACAGCTACGAGCTTTTAAATGAAATTTAATAAATTATACCTAAATATATAAAAAAATATTCAGTTTAAAAACTTGTTGAAAACAAATTTAACGTAAGCTTAAAAAATAAATGACTTTAAATTAAATAAAAGTATCAAGTTGCGTCAGTTACATAAAGTTTCGCTGCTTCGCGCTTGTCGCTGTGTGCGTGAGCCGTGCACGTGTAGTAGTACGCCTCTGTACCTAAAATTGAAGCGCGTGAATTCGTAAACGCGTCCTTAATATGTATGCATATTATATTTTTACCTGGTGGTAAATGTAGCTTCTCAATGACGAATTTTTTCCTTCTTAATTTGAATGCTAAATCCAGACTGGGTGGAACATAAGGCATAAGTGAGTATATGGCAGACAGCTTTGTTACATGAAACAAGCCATGGTAGTCACTATAAACAGGATTTGTTTCACGGCTAGACCCAGCAAAGGACTCAATCCTGACGGCATTATCAACAGAATATAGAATTCTCGCCATTAAATGATCATCCTAAAATAAAATATGTATAAATCAACATAATTATTTGTGTTACTTATCATATTCACTGATCATTAAATAAATGTTACACTTACATTAAATATGTGAGAAGGAATAGTTATAAAAGCGACAGCTAAAGTGTCTCTTAGGATAATTCTGAGACTGTATAAAAATTTTATTAAATCTTGTCCATAGCTGCTGTTTATGGGATCATCATCACAGTCAGCTGCCATCCAAATTGGCGAACCAAGTGATTGTATACATAAACGTAAAATGTTTTTGTTCTTACTGCTTGTTTTAAATTCATCTTTTGATATAACATCTTTGATTTTGGTCAACAATTTAATATAAATTGAGTTTTGAAAACCTAGAATAAGCAATGACATTGTACATTTTTTTTTATTGACTTTTCAAAGATATAAAATGTGTTATTTCATATTTCATGGGCAGTAAATCTGGAAGCACAGACACACCAATTCAGACTTTTTATTACTTATTGTTATCCAATGCAGGCCTCTATTTAATAAACTAAGGTCCACAATTGAAAATTTTTTATATTTGTATATTACATTCAAAGAAAAGCAGTATAAATATTTAAAAATGTTAGTTTAAGATGTATGCATCCTGATCAAAAATAATCCATAGCCATATTGAGCCAAGGTGCACAGACACAAATAGTTGTCTGGATGAGTGCACAAAAGAAGGTCCAACGTGTTCCAATATCCCTAGATTACGCCTTATACATAACTGCTTTAATCTGCCCTATTAACCAGTAGCAAAAGTCACTGGATAGCTTTACCACTTATTAAAAAAAATTGGTTTACCCAAGCAAAATCATTTCAGACAAGATAGTTTACATAAACATGTATGTACAAAAGATATATAGCATTATGCTTCATTACCTTTTTGATCTGAATTTTTTTTTAAATCATCATCAATAAAGACATATGTTACATCACTTTGTTGTATAGTTTCTTTATCAATATGTTTACTTAAATCAAAGTTATGACCAAAGTTGGAACTCCTTCCAAATGATGATTCCACTAAGCCAAGGCCTTCATATCTCCAGGCTATTTTCATTTCAGCCTTTGCACCTTCGGAAAGTATTTCCTTCTCTTGCTCAAAACAAGGTTGTGGCAATTCGCTCACCTGAAAAAATTATTATTTATTGTATTTAATTTAGGGATCTAGTAACAGAAGTATCATTTGCAGGCTTGTGATAATTCAAACTATTCTATAATAATAAAATATATTTTATACATTACAACCTTCCATTCTGTCTTCCATCATTTAACAATCAAATAGTTTAAAAGACTGAAAGCATTTTTTATATTTATGTTATCATTTACATAAAAAAATATTAAAGAAAGTGAAATTTATTCACTATATATTTATATTATAGAAACTGCTATATTTATCTGCAGATGTAATAATACATATTGATTTGCAACTAATGATACAATAAGGCATATTTTTTAATAAAAGAGATTAAGACATTTTTTTTACATATTTATATTACATGATATGAATGCACTTAAAACAAACTACTGAGTTGACTACTCACTATGCTCCTGGGATCTTCATCTGCAGATGCAATAAACAAAGCATGTTTACAAGTGACTCCTTCGGCCAAAAAATATTTAATTAAAACTCGACTATAACTACCTAAAATATCTTCTTCTGCAAGAATTACCACATATAATATTATAACTTAATTATTTTATTTTGTAAAAAATAATATGCATTGTTTTACCTAAAAGATAGATACCTATAACAAAGATAGCTCCTGAAGGCAATCCTCCTCCTAAAAGAAACATATTATGGATGAACATTTCAGTAAAATTAGTTTTTTTTTGACGTTTACTTTATATGTTAAATGGGTTTCCGTCATATGAAATAATCTCTAAACTTACCAATAATATGATCTAAAGAGGGAATCCCAGAAGATATGTATGGTAAATTATTTTTTAATTTAGTTCCGGTAATGCTGTAGCTAGATTCAGACGTTTTATGAAAACTCGACATGGTTAAAAGGCATTAAGGTGAATCACAATTTTTATTTATTCATAAAAAAGGATAGAATATAAGTGCAACGACTTTTTTAGGTTAAACTAGTAACATACACAAAATAAAAATTACGAAGAATTATTAAACGTGTTTTTGTGTTTGCGAGTTCATTTAGTGTTTATTTTGTAAGACACTAAAAAAAAACAATGTTAAATATAACGTCTTTCACAACTTAAATAAACAAAATAAATATTAAAATTAGACAATTTAGTTTAAAAACCTGTCAATGTATGTCATCAATCATCATATGGTATACAGCAATGTCATATTGCCATAAGACACCATATGTCACTAACGTTAGTATTGTCATTATCAAATGTTTAAAATATGATTTATTTTTGTTTTATTCGATAAATGTTGTGTTTTATTTTTTGCTTAAGTGTAGTTTGTTTGGCAGCTTTAACCAATGATATTATATACAAATACGAGGAAGGTATGACATTAGCGCGCCGAAACCGAGGCACTCAAATTACATCAATTGGTGTAATTAGATTGCAATTGCCAGCTACTTGACTGCTATCTCTTTCTGTATCATTTATCATTATCATATTTATGATTGATTGGCAAGTGCTAAGATGGGTCGTATCGCTTTTTCTGAGAACCGTATCTGAATCAGATTTCGATTTCAAATATCAGATTTCGAAACTATGTATTTTAATATCTATACATTTGACGTTCGCGTATCCACCTTAAATTCATTAAAAAAAAAGTAAAGGTTTTTTTTTTGTAAAGGTTTGCTACGACCAGTGAGTCCTACAAGTCAGGCGTACCTTTAAATAAGTTTTTTTCCTTTTATTGCAAACTTTGGAATCATAACGTTAAAACCTAATACATAATCCAATTATGTATTATTAACACCCCAGTATCATGAGTCCACTATATATTTTTTTTCCTTAATTTAGGAAGAAAATTCGTAAGCTGGCATCCCTTACTATAACGTTCGTACCAATGCACTCCAGCTCAAGGCTAAACAAAATTTAAACACGTCGTTAATACCATGATTCGTATTTAAATTTGATGGGAAAGATTTATTCCCAATCAATGATGAATTCAATGAAGATAAATTATTGACACATAGAATAATAAAAATATATAAAATTAACACGAAATACATAATTATAGAAAGACAGTTTTTACAAAGATGTTTTTCTCTCGACTGAAATTGACACACACTGGAACAGTACAATTTTCAAATGTAACACCTGTTATCTGTAAGTGGCCAGTATTCCTTAGCGGAATGTTATGAAATCTCTAACACTCCTCCGTAACATTGCGCTACTCATAAGGCCACTCAATCACTCATTCGATACACACTCAACACTTACACAAACTCATACTCATGCCACTCAAACATAACTCAAACTTTCCTCTTGGCAGGGCCTTTGTGAAAATGTCAGCTACCATCGACTCTGTCCCCAGATACTTCAGACTGACCACTTTGTTGCGAAGTGCCTCTCTGATAAAGTGAACTCTAACGTCAATGTGCTTTGACCTCTTATGGCAAGAGTCCTCACTGTTTGCCATAGCTATTGCAGACTGACTATCACTACTCAGCTTAATAGTCTTGTTAAGTCCAGTTATTTCTCCAAATAACCTCTTAAGAAAAACTGCTTCCCTTGCAGCATTTGACAAACTAATGTATTCCGCTTCTGCACTTGATAAAGCAACTACTGTTTGTTTTCTGCTTTCCCAACTCACAGGTACAGACCCAAATTTAAAAATATAACCTGAATAGGACTTGCGATCTGTTACATCACCCGCATGATCTGCATCAACAAACCCTTCTAAATATCTTCCACGTTGTTTAAACACCAGCCCCAGGCTTTTGGTGCCTTTAAGATAGTGAAGAACTCTTTTTAGTGTCTGCCAATGTTGCTCTCCATAGCAACTATTAAACTGACTCAAGTAACTTATTGCAAAAGCTACATCTGGTCTTGTGCAGACTGCCAAATACATTATAGAACCTACTAATTCTTGATAAGGAATGTTATTAGGCGGCTCATAATCTGTTTCCACCGGTTTGGTCAACCTATAACCAGCAATGAGAGGTGTAGAAACAGGTTTGCAGTCCTGCATGTTAAACCTGGCTAATATTTTCTCTATATAGCCTTCCTGATCTAGTGTAATGTCATCTTCAGTTTGTTGTAGACGCATTCCCAGAAACAAATCCGCTTTACCAAGATCACGCATCTCGAAGGTATCTCTTAACTCCTTCTTGACTTGCTGCATCTCTGCTTTATTGTTCCAAAAAATCAATAGATCATCAACGTACACCGCTAGGATTATTAGCCTGTGTTGACTTCCCTTATATAAACACATGGTTCGTTGTCTAGCTGAGTGAACTTCAACTGTTTCAGTGCTGAGTCCAACCTTTGATTCCAAGCTCTTGGGGCCTGCTTCAAACCGTACAACGACCTTTTCAGTAAGCACACGTAATCCTCTTTTCCCTTCTCCTCAAAACCTTCAGGTTGCTTCATGTACACTGTCTCTTCAATGTACCCATTAAGAAAAGCGGTCTTCACATCCATTTGATCAATTTTTAATTTATTCTCGGCAGCCATTGCCAACAGAAGACGCAATGAACTATGCCTGATCACAGGTGAATATGTCTCAAAGTAATCAACACCTCCGCGTTGTTTGAAGCCCCTCGCTACAAGCCTTGCCTTATATCGTTGCTTGTTTCCAGCTTCAGTCTTAACTTTAAGAACCCACTTGCTATCGATCACGTTTTGTTTTGGCTCTCTCTTTACTAGCTGCCAAGTTCGATTCTTGTGAAGAGCATCCAATTCTTCCTTAATAGCCTCACGCCAAAGTAAGCTGTCTGTCCATGCGAGTGCTTCTCTGACATTTATAGGTTCCTCCGAACCAAAACCACTCTCTCCGGGTAGAACTGCTTGATATAGAACGTGATCAGGGAATTGTCGTGGCTTTCTGTTTCTCATAGGGTATCTCCGTGCATCCGTTTGATCACCTCTATGATCATTTTCCTCCGAAACGGGTGCATCGGAACTCAGATACCATTGTTCAGTATCATCTCTGTCTTCAGTCTCCTCCGTAACTGAAGAAACAGCACCTGTTCTGTCCTGTTCTATATTAGCTCCAATATCCTCTGACTCAGGCATTATAATACCTCCTCCGTTCCCTGAGAGGTGTCTCTCTGTTTCATTTCTACAACCATCCTCTATCTCTTCTCCACAGACCACCTCCTCCGTTGATTGAGTACTTGATAGTCGTACCACAGTGAACTCCGGAATCGGTCTTTGATGAGAAGCAGAATTTTATCTAATAGTCAAAATCTCACTTGATGGTTGTTTCCGTGAAACTATATTATTCTCAAAAAATACTACATCTCTTGCCTTATGAAGATTTCCAGAAACAGGATCCAACAGTCTGTACGCTTTGGAATTTTCGCAGTATCCTAAAAGTATAAGCTCCTTACTCTTTGGATCTAGCTTGCGCCTCTTTTGGTCAGGAACGTGCTTGTAGGCCTTACACCCGAAAACTTTCACGAAGCCTAGGTTCACCTTTCTTCCCGTCCAAGCTTCTTCAGGTTTTATCCTTGAGAGCCTTCGTAGGCGACCTATTTTTAAGAAAAACTGCATATACAAGAGCCTCTGCCCAGTAGCGTTTTTCTAATCCTGTCTCATGCAGCATACACCTAGCTTTTTCCATGAGAGTTTTATTTGCACGTTCTGCCACCCCATTCTGCTCAGGGGTATACTCGACAGTAAGTTGATGAACTATACCGTACTTCTTAGTGAAACTTTTCATTTCATTGTTCACATATTCTTTGCCGTTGTCTGTTCGGATTGACTTCAGCTTCTTTTCTGTTTGCCTCTCTGCAAAAACTTTAAATTCTTTTATTTTCTCAACAGCTTCGCTCTTATTCTTCAATAAGTAGACAAAAGTTTTCCTTGTCTTATCATCTATAAGTGTCATAAAATATCGGTACCCCGACATAGAGTTGATACTCATTGGCCCACAAATATCAGAATGTACTAACTCAAGTACTTCACTAGCTCTTTTAAACCTTACGCTTTGGAAAAGGTTGCCTTGTTTGCTTACCCATCAGACAAGATACACATTCTAAGTTAATATTAGAATTTTGAAAAATTATCCCATCTGCCAGTTTGTCTCTCAAAAGTTTAAGATTGCTTACTCCTAGGTGACCCATCCTCCGATGCCACAAAATCAGTTGATTGTCCTTCTGCATACTGGAGACTAGTGCTATAGTGCCCTGTTGAAAAGGATTAAGTTTATAAATGCCATTATCTACCCAACAGTCACCAGCCACAACTGATCCATTCACCTCGCAATCATCCGAATTGTAGATTTCACAACCTCTGTTTGAAAAAACTACAACTCTACCTCTTTTGACTAACGTATTTACGCTTAGTAAATTTGTAGCCAAGTCAGGAGCATACATAGCGTCACTCACTCTTATGCTCCCATCCACATCAACTACATCACCAATTTCTAAGCCATACACCTTACCACCATCCGCGCATGCAATCTCTCTCTTCGATTCATACGCCACATAATTCCTCAGCCAACCTTTATCATTTGTCTTATGAACTCGCTCCCGAGTCAATCACCCATTCCGCTGAAGATCCTTGACCACTGTTCGCAAAAACATTTGCTGATGCCGAATAATTTTTCCTTCTGTTAGGATTGTCAGGGCATTCAGCCGCTTTGTGATTTCCTTCACATATAAAGCATTTCATCGCCTTAGCTTTCTGGTTTGCTTTGAATTTTCCTTTCCCTTTCTTCTTGCTTGCTGTAAGAGCAGAATCATCTTGTTGAAAACTAGTTAATGGTGTGCTCTCATCGCTTAGGTTGTATAACTTCGTTTTGACATAGTCTGTAGTAATATAGTTTGAAATTGCTCCAATCTCATGCTAACTAATCTGCCCAACAATCGACATTTGTTATTTATGCCCTTGTCCTCATAGGCTTTGCTTAGCGCCTCCCAGGCCTCTTTTGCCGTCTTTGTCTTTCTTATCAAGGTGCGACATCTCTGATCCACCATCAAACCGATTCGAGCCCGTGCTTTTTGGTCTCTACGAATGCCTGCTACATCCTCCGGCTGTGGTGACACTTGCGTATATTTCCACAAATCATCATCCGTTAGATACAACTCCATATCAAACTTCCATGTGTGAAAATTAGAGCTTCCTACTAATTTTTCAATATACGCAGCATTAACGCCCGCACTTCGTATTTCTGTACTCGAATTTTCATTTTTATATCCATCATGCGACATTTCATATTTTCACTAGTATTCATCTGGGCCCATAACCCTGATGGGAAAGATTTATTCCCAATCAATGATGAATTCAATGAAGATAAATTATTGACACATAGAATAATAAAAATATATTAAATTAACACGAAATACATAATTATAGAAAGACAGTTTTTACAAAGACGTTTTTCTCTCGACTGAAATTGACACACACTGGAACAGTACAATTTTCAAATGTAACATCTGTTATCTGTAAGTGGCCAGTAATCCTTAGCGGAATGTTATGAAATCTCTAACAAAATTAAACAGAGTTTTTTCCATGCTGTTAAGATTCAAAATTACTTAACTTATTCATAAAATCTGTTTAAAAATCTGATATTGTTGCCTTACTGCTCTAACTAATGTAAAATTTGTATCTCTATCGCTCGAAATCTGTTTAAAAATCTAATATTGTGCATTGCTATCGTGCGTACCGCTCCAACTAGGGAATATTTGTATCTCACGCGCTTTGTCTAAAAATCTGATATTGTGGCAAACGCGTATGATATAGCGATTCATGTTGGTATAGCGAGTGAGTATTCGGTACATCAGATTTCGGAAATATCAGATATTGTAAAATACGTAGATTTTGAACGAGCCAGTAAGCGATTTTCGGATATTGTACCAATATATGGTTTCATATCTGTATACGATTTGTAATTTTGTATCGCCCACTTTTAGCAAGTGGCAACACCTAAACCTATACGTAATTTGCCGAGCTGGTGTTTTGTAAATCGCTTGTCCAGAATTTATTTTGATTTAACATAAAAATTCTTATAGCTGCTGATAATTTGCAAACATTTTTATATTTTAAAAATTACACACTTGAAGCAAAATGCAAGGTCCAGCTGTTTTTATGGATATATCGCTTGAAGATCAAGTAAGTCACGTTAAAATAACCTTAAAATGACGATTCTAACATTTATATAGTGCAATAATTATATTTAACAAATTGATTTGATACAATTTTAAAAACTAATTATATCATTTACTTCCAGGCACTAGAACTGAGAAAGTACTTTAAAAGCCTTGGTGCAGAAATTTCAGAAGAAAAGTCTGCTAAGGGAATTGAGGATGATTTACATAAAATTGTAGGTGTGTGTGATGTTTGTTTTAAAGAAACTAATGAAGCGGATATTGAGGCCATATTGAATAGCATTGTATCAATTATGGTTTCAGTAAGTACATTTAACTATATCAAATATACTATATAAGTATAATTATTATAGTTATACTTTCTAATGTTTCTATTGCTATAGCATTGAGTAGGTATCAGTTTAGAATCATCAATCATCAAATCTCTTAAAATGAATTGATCAAGTATCATTGATGGAGCCATTAAAATTGAAAATAGATCGACTCATAATTTTTAAAAGTAAAGTAAAATTATGTTCATCCTATAATCATGAATGTTGCAGTTTGTGTAAAGATATGAAATTATTACCATTGTTTATGATTTTGCTGAACATGAAAATTAAAAAAAAACATAATAGACCATTAGTTTACAATGGATTAAAATTTGGGAGAGTAACTTTATCATGATATTTCATTAAAAATATTAAAGAATGGTTGCCAGGCTAATAATAAAGTAATAAAAAGCTGATTATTTACTTGTATTTTATAACAAGGTAAATTTATTTTCACTCAATGAATGATATATGTTTTTAGATACCTTTGGAAAGAGGTGAAAATCTTATTGTGGCATTTAGTCAAAGATTAGCAAAGGCTCCTGGTCCGAAGCTTGGATTAGTGGCTCTACAATCGTAAGTTTCAGAATGATTTATTGAATTTATGATAGAGATATTATTAATTATAATTTAGATTACACAGAGCACCACAGAAACTCTTTTGCTAATTTTGTGGTGAACAACTGAAACATTCTTACAATTTTCGCTTCACATTTTCCAGGTTATGGAGACTGTATAACAATTTAGAATCAAACTCACCATTGAGGTACCATGTCTATTATCATGTAATAGAGCTAGCAGCACGTGTAGGCGCTGTCAAAGATGTGTTTACGGGGGTGGATCAACTAAGAAGGGAGTTTACTAGCTGTCCTCCTTCAAATGAGCAGATGCAAAAATTGTACAGATTATTACATCAAGTATTAAAAGATCAAAACAGGTATCTGTATTTATGAATATTTTTGTTATAATTTTTTACTTTCCAAAATAATTAATAAATACTAGTGTAGAAAATAGTAAGTCTTATTTTTTCATATGGTCAGATTATGGAAGTACTGTTGGTTTTGAAAATTATAATTATGGTTAGTGCCATATTATTTTCAAACCAAGATTAATTCAAAAATCTACTAAAACTTTTAAATCACATCTTTTTTTAGTCATACCTCTTATAATTCATAATATTTAATTATGTTTTCTTAACTATCTCATTACAGTGAACTGGCTTCAAAAGTTATGATAGAACTGCTTGGTACATATACAGATGAAAATGCATCTTATGCCAGAGAGGATGCCATTAAATGCATAGTAACTGCACTTGCTGATCCCAATACATTCTTATTGGATCCTTTGCTTTCATTGAAGCCAGTGCGATTCCTTGAAGGCGAGCTTATCCATGATCTGCTCACAATATTTGTGTCTGAAAAACTTTCTAGCTATCAGACTTTCTATCAGAACCATAAGGAGTTTGTGCAGTCTCAAGGTGAGTCTTATTTTTAACTATAAACTCAGGACTTAATTGTTTGTGTTTCACAGATTTTTGAAATTTATAAATTTATAAATAAATATTTATAAATATTTAGGACACATTTGTACACAACATTTTCTAGTCCCAAACTAAGGAAAGCTTTGTACTATGGGTACTAGAAAACTGATAAACATACTTTTCTTTTGTAAATAAATACATATTATACATATAGAAACAACCAGACACTGGAAAAACACCATGTTCATCACACAATATTTTTCCAGTAGTGGGGATCGAACCCACACCCTCTGGCGCAGCAGGCAGGTACACTACTCACTACGCCATTCGGGTCGTCAACCTTCTTTAAATTAATATCTTTTTTTTTTTTGCAATTGTTTAATATTACATATTAGATTGTATTTGTAATGGCTGCACTGGGTGCTCATTGTTTCCAATGTCAAAATTTGTACTAAAAATGTGATATTTTTGGGTTATAGAAAAATGCAATGGATTTAGTATTGTCACAATAGATCAGATAAGATTAATTAATGTTAAGTAAATTGAATCATTGAGTCATTAAAATTTAATAATTAGGTTTTTGGATTTTGTTAGTATATTCCATACTAGTGACCCAGCCCTGGCTTACCTAAATTAGCACTAATTAACCAAAAAAAATACTGTCTTGATCACTACTAACATATCATCATATGTCCTGCCGTTTTAGAGCCTTTGGGAAATATACATACACATATCAATTTGTATAATTTTCAAAAGCGAAAAATAACAACAAAAATACTTATTTGTTTTGTAATTTCATGAAAAACTAGACTTTGACATGGAAAATAAGAGGATAGTTGCTAAAATAAAAATGTAGCAAGAGTGAAATGCATATAACAAGATCATAGAAAAGAAATACATTCTATGCATTCTACATCAAATGGAATTTACAAACCAAGCAAACAGAGCAGGCTTTGGATTCAAAGGAGATGTAGATATCCCCTTGACCTTTTGAGTAAAAAGATTCACCTAACTTCACTGAGATAAAATTTGTTCATATCAATGTTTCCGATGATATATAATTACTAGCTGCTGCCCGCGACTACGTCTGCGTGCGGGGTGAGGGGTGACAATTTAGGGTTGTATGTATTTTTGTATGCTGTCATAAAAAAATAGAAACAAAAAGTTTTATATAAAAAATAAAAAATAAATTTAGGGGTGGACTACCCCCTTAACATTTAGGGGGACGAAAAATAGATAGTAGCCGATTCTCAGACCTACTGAATACGCATATAAAATTTGATAAAAATCGGTCGAACCGTTTTGGAGGAGTTCAAGTTCGAACCCCGTGACACGAGAATTTTATATATTAGATAAATTGTTGCAAATTGTTATAACTGGCTCTTAAATTGATGAAAAAATTAAATTGTTTTATTTCAGGTCTTAACCATGAGCAAAATATAAAGAAAATGAGAATACTATCCTTTATGCAGATGGCTGAATCAAATCCAGAAATTACTTTTGATGAAATGATCTCTGAGTTACAGATCGAAGAGAAAAATGTAGAGGCGTTTATCATTGAAGGTAAGAATATAATATATTTAAAACAGCTTCTTTTGAGTTTATTTTAAATTTTCTATAGAGGTGACCTTAATTATCGATGGGCACAGGTGTAATTTGCCAGGCTATTGCAAACTATATGCCCTAAACAGGTATGTGTGATTACATCATTTGAACAAATCAGGGATATATTAAAAAGTTAATGGACTTGCTATATATACTTTTTTAATAAACTCAACCTTATATCCTGTTTGGTTTGAACGTTATGTCTTTACGCCGCTTCTTTTGCAATCAAATTAAAGTCTAATATACTTAACAATATCTCACATTTTCGCGAAAGCATTACTAAATAACTATATTCCTACGGATTTTATCGCGCTTATTTCAAACTTAATATCCCGACATATTGTGGTCATGGATGCTGCGAAGTATTATAAATTTCGGGAATTTTAAGGATTTTTAAATTTTATGTTCTTAAATAAACAATTTTATCAAATTTACTTATAATATATTTTGTTGGGACAGACAAATTTGTCTATTGCTGACATAGATAGGTTTTGTGAAGGATTTATATTGGATGTCTTATATTTTCTCAATGGCAACCATCCGCATTCTTGAGAAGAGGCTAAATGTCAGGCTTATTTCTCTTTACCCAGTTTGAGCTTTGTTTAAAAGAATGTAGCGTAATTATATTGATTTTAGCTTTATTGCCATGCCGTTCTTTAAATGATATTTTTTAAATAGTGACTGGTTTAACAAATAATAATATTTCCTGGTAATCTGTTTCAAAATCGAATGAAGCTCGATAGCCTCCTCTCCCATTAGCGATTCCAATTCCCCGTTAATTTTGTAATAACAACGATTTTTTCATATATTTAAATACATATTTAAACCATAATATTTAACTTGTAGACGATGAAGTAATAATAAGAAGACTAAAGTTCAAAGTCATCACAGTTATTTTTCGTTTCGTTGGACTAAATGCGTGACTGACTGGCTGTTATTATACCGAGCTGATATTTCAATATTTAATTTTTATAGGCTAACGGCCGTTTTCAATATTCCATCTAACAGTAGGTGTGGTTACTAGCGATAGGTGTTTGACATTAGCTCCATAATACTTAATTCTATCTCCGGTAATGGGATACTTCTGGGTCTTCTGAATGGGGATAGGGTCTTACGGGCGATATTCCATCGAATTATCGAATTCCGATATCGAAATCCATCGATATTCGAATTACGAACGCCCTGTCAAATCGCAGTGCTGAAGACGCGGCTGGTGCGCGCTCGGATGGACCAGGCTCAACGCACGGTGCGCGTCACCAGCACGATGCACAGGACGTTCGGGCGGGCGCAGTGGCAGCAGCTGCGCAGCGTGCTGCTCGCGTGGCGCGCCAACGTGCACCAGGCGCACGAGTCCATGAAGTCCGTGGCGGCCGCACAGCTGGAGTACACCGCGCAACAGCAAAAGGCCTAACCGCTCAAATAAACTTTGATTTACGATTCACTGTCGTTTCATTCCGCCGGTCGCCATGTTGGTTTTTAGTCTATGGTCTATTAAATTTGAACCGGAAATTCTTGTTTACGCGCGCCTTAATCTTATGTGGTCTTTTGTATTTCCGCATTTAGAGGATTGCTGTGCCGGTGAAATATATTTTTTAATTTTTTTTCAAACCGTCTCCTGATGCTAAAATGGATTTCCGTTTCATTGATTCGTTCATTGTATAAGAGATTATGTAATAATATTTGGTAATAAACTTTATAAAATAAAATAAATTTTAATTCATTTATTCCTGTGATACATTTCGCAGTCCATAGAAAATAAATAATATTTAATATGACAACTAAAGGAAAAAACCAAGCAAATCTGTTTTTTTTTCAGTGTTTAGTTATTTAATTTATCATTAAAATTTTCTAAACAAGCAAATATATTTTTTTCTTTAATACCGATCAACTACATTAAGGGCATATGAGCTCCTATTCAATGCCATGATATCATAATAATCTCTAAGAAATGTAACCTCATATCAAAAAATTGGTAGAACAAGCTGTTTGTAAAGAATAAAACTTGTGAAGTCTATTTAGTTTGACAGAACATTAAGACAATGTCGATTGTGAAAACACTGAAGTCGTTAATAGGTATCTTTTAGTGATATATATGTGTATACATTCATTATAATCGTAAAGGAATTTTGAAGGATTAATGGATTATGAAGCGCAAGACGCGTGCTGCTTTAGCAATATATTCCGTTCATTCGTTTGTGTAGCTCTCACGCTTTTGTTGGGGCTCCATATGTATTCGTATCTATGGGGTACCCAAGACGCAATCGATGGCGAATTTGGTGATATCAAATACGTAGTCATGCAACTTACACAGGGCCTATCAGAGGTTATTTATAATTTAAATTTGTTTTAGATGCTACAATTTTTGTTAAATGATCATGACCTATTCATCCACAGATATGCTTTATAGTTGATTGATACAATTTAAGTTAATGCTTTTGAACAATATAAGAGGTTCGAACTGCCGCAATGGTAAACAATATTAATTTATTATTATATGAATATTCATATTGTACTTGTGGAAAAACATTAAATTTTTTTGTCATCATTATCATTATTATGATCATCATCATTATTTCAGCCTGTAAGCGCTCACTGCTGAACATCCTACCAATCCAAGCTCTAGGGATTTCCACTTCAAACTGTTTCAAGCGGCCTTGCATTCAGCGAAGTCCCGCGACTTTGAACAGGTCGTCAGTCAAACTCACGGGTGGCCGCCCCACACTGCGTTTTCCAACACGCGGTCTCCACTCGAGAATCTTGCTGCCCTATCGGCCGTCAGTTCTGCGACCTATGTGGCCTGCCCATTGCCACTTCAGTTTGCCGACAACCTAGACTATGTCGGTAACCTTTGTTCGTACGCGGATCTCGTCATTCCTGTTTCGATCTCGCAAAGAAACCTCGAGCATAGCCCTCTCCACTGCCCCCAGAGTGACGCTGTCTCTTTAGGAAGGTCCATAGTTAGACTCCAAGTCTTGGCGCCGCAATTCAGTACGTATTGGTCAAAGACTTTTATCTTCAGACTTTGTGGCAATGTGGAGTAGGATCCGTCGAGTGCCCTGGTGCCTGGTCGAAATTGGACCTGCCTAGCTGGACTACTTCATCATCATCCTCATGCCTTTATCGGCACAACATGTGATGTGGTTTTGGCTAAGTTTTTTTACCACCAGCCTGACGTCAACCGTGTGTTGGAAACAAACAGCCAGATCCGGAACAATTATTTCTGATTCACAAGGATACTTGCCCTCGACGCTGAAACCATTAGCATCACTGCGCCAACGAGTCATTTTATAAAAAAAATATGTATCGATTTAAAAAAATAACCCGTTTTCTCTGTGTTGTATGAATGATGTGATAGACGATATTGCATAAAATTAAAAGTAGGTATCCAGGTGAGCTGCTAATTTTTTCTATAGAATAGCCACTCGGTAGATTATGGTCACCGCTGTTCACGCCAACTAAACACGACTAAATAAGACTTAACTCTTCTGGAAAAAATGTGACAACAGTTAACAATAAGTTGTATGTTGCAAAAAATTCGTAAATCGTAATCTTAAATGCTATTACGCTAAAACACGTCTCTACGATTCAACAAAATGAACTAAAGTAAGTGTTCATTCTGTTAAAACCTACCAATTGTAGATGAATCGTGAGCACGAACGGATTCGCAATGAACTAGAGCGGATGACTTCCTCCTTGCCGGCAATGGCGGCTGCGACAGGACGCGTCAAGGATTCCCTGGAGCCTTCGCGTCGGGCGTCGCGCCCCTCGTTTGATATAAGAGATTATGACCGACAGGTAAACGACGAATTTTTTAACTTGCATCGTAAGATACAACACCGATGTTCTCATTTAGAAATAATCAAAAAAGGAAAATAACTCTGCAGAAAAAATATTTGTTTACTGAGGAAGATATGCGCCTGTCCTAAAAATATTCTGTTATGAACAAATAAGTCATTTCAAAATTATGATATTGAGAGAAACTTTCTTTTGAAACAAACACAATTCTTTGGATTATTGAAGTTCTTACCAAGGAGCATACGATAAATTAATATTAAAGTTCTTACCTTCCAAACTAGTACTTTTACAATTGTGTTTACTTAAATGTATGCTTTACGAAAACTACGAGCACAAACAATATGTGACGTGAGAGCAACATTTCATAAGCAGATGTCGCAGTAGGCCTGTCAACTTATAGTTTACCTAATAATTTTTTCATCTTTTCAGATGTTAATTACAGTAAAATGAGTTTTGAAATATGCTATCTTACAGATAGCGGATTATGCAATAGAGTCCGCCGGCGCTCGCATTTTGGATACAGGCGACACCCAAGAGTACGTAATTCACGAGTCGTCGGTGGGTTGGGCGCTCTACTTCGTCACTTCCCTCCTTTGCCGCGATTGCCCCGGTGCCTCTACGATATTGCGTCCCGGTACTCTGCCCGGCGAGTGTTGGGCCTTCAAGGGCTCCCGGGGTGAAGCGACCATACGTCTTCTCGGATCAGTGCAAATAACTGGCATCAGCGTCGAACACATACCGCCCCACATATCGCCTACTAGGTATGTTTTTTAATTTAACTGTGGTGGGGCCATGCAACAGCAATATAGAATTGCACAAATGGGCAGGTCCGTTCGGAAAGACCGGCGTGAAGTATAAGTGTTATACTTCTGTATTTCGTGTGGTGAGTGAGGTAGCAGGGGAGCACTTTATTAAAAGGTGGCAACGCATCTGCAAACCTACGGGTCTTGCAAATGTTAATGGTTGGCGGCTATCATTTAACATAAGATGAAGCGCCAGCTAGCATTCCAAATTCTCACTTAAGAAAAATTCAAAGGTATGCCTACTGAGCAAGTGGTTCACCTGATGGTAGAGGATGTTGCAGGCGCGTACCCAACCACTGAGACTGTGGACCTCTCTAAGCGGACGATATGCAAAACTATAAATACTTTTATTTTACGCCGATGTTTCATGAGGGCGTGGTATTTCCTTGGTGATTAATTTGATTAATATCGCTGGTTTAGTAATTGAGGAGGCTGTTATGACAGCTGTTCAACATGTATTTTGGTTAGTATGGAAGATAAATTTCGAAAAATGATACTGAATATTCCTTTGTGTTAAGGCCTTGTAGTAGTTTCTGCTGGAAGAATGGGCAGGCTTGTTCGGAGATACGTCGTAGTAATACGGTCTCGCAGAAGACCGGAGCGAACGGAAGTGTTTAAGCTTTTTTTTCTGTTGAATAAGATAACCGGAGCCCACTTAGAAATGGGCTACGTATTTGCAATGGATTGTTTGTAATCACTAAATCACCGCAAACAAAGAATCTTTGTTACATAATCTTTAATTTGGTGCTATACACGTAGGTTAAAATATACCAAAACTTAACACGGTCAAAGAGAATGCGTTAAAGAAACACCTTTTGAGCGCTTACCACCTCGCATCAGGATCGTAGGCAAATACTAGTCAGCACGGAATTATGTTATATTCAATTAAAAGAGGAGCATTTATTTAATAAGACAGGCATTAATTCAATAAGGGAAACATTTATGTAATAAGAGAAGCAACTATACTTTGGTGTCGTGAGGTTTTGATACATGTGATTCAAAAGCATTTATTTAACAGGACAGGCATTCGTTTAATAAGGGAAGCGTTAATTTAATAAGAGAAGCAACTATACTTTGGCGTGGTGAGGTTTTGATACTTGTGATTCTTGACGTAACAGAGAGATTTCGTCGGCGCCACGACTGTTCCAATTGGAAGGCTTGGCGGGCCGCAGCGACCTCTACCCGCACGACTTCGGCACCTTCGAGTACGACAAGGAGGGCAAGCCGATACAGTACTTCGAGGTGGAGCAGCCCGCCTCCACGGGCTACCACATCGTGCGGTTCAAGGTGCATTCGAACTGGGGCCACCCGCTGTACACGTGTGTGTACCGAGTCAGGATACACGGTGACCTGGTGGCGGGCCAGACGCCGCATAAGACGATCGCCGATGACGATAAAGCGGCTTCACACTGAGGGACGTAGCTTTTTAAGCTCGCTGTTTTAGCGCGTTGCTAGTTAAATAGTCATACTGGTGGGTGGAGGTAAACCCTAGGTCAAGGTCAACCTAAATACCTACACTATAATAAATAGACACTTGGGTAAATGTTTATAATTTGTATTTGTTGTTAATTATGGTTGTATTTGAGTCTGTATAAAAATATTTTATTTTTATTTTTGTGGTTATTATCAGTTTACTGTATGATATTTGTCTAGCTTATCAATGATAGATTATTCCTTGTAATTATGTTAACATTCAACGCCTGGTTAGATCGGAGTTAGATTCGGTGTATTAAGTTTATAAATATTTAAATAATATTTTGTAAGAATTCAATTACGAAATGTTATACACTAAATTCTTTAAGAATTGTTAGCTTTATAATGAATAATATTCTTTTTAATTTAATATATTTTTTTCAAATACATGGATGGTTAATAAAATGTTTACCGCCATATTTGCCCGACTTATTGGCCACACGGACCACATAATTTGCGTAACTCTTCGATTAAATTCAAGGCATTTGATTTGGGTAGGCTCTAGTAAAGTCTTTATTTAATATTATGTGTGATATGTTGATATGATATGTGTCTATAGGTGATATTTTTCTGTATTAGACAGCCTGGACATTTCACATAATGCGAGCAAAAATTATTTATGGTTTAAGGAAATACATCGTATGTAATGTAATTAAATTTTACGATTTTTTTTATTCGTATCGATAAAATATAATTCGTAAATGCCAGCAACTTTTTAACCATAATTTAGTTCGGAAAATCTGGCAATAAAATTTTGAATACTTTTTAAATAGAAAATGGTTGCCACGTAACTGTAATAATTTCATAACAATCACTAAATGTGATTAGGTAATACCCATATTATCGATAAGTGGTTTGTTTCATATTTATTATATGCAATTTTCTAATTAATGAGGTATTTGATTTCGTGCAGGTGTACACAAACCCTTTGCGCAAAACAATCGGTAGCCACCTCGATTTTTTCGACGCGGCCATTAATGCCAGGTGAACGGCTAGATTGGGCATTGTGTGTTGGCACAAAACGGGTGAAAGCTAAGGCCGCCTAGCATACGCCGATTTTAATCTGGCCGTTCGGCAGCCGAATGCCGTAAAACGCACCCATTGTGAATGGACAATGCGACAAAGCACATAAATTAACATGAGTAAAGTGATCATGATCCCCCGTTGCGCTCGCACTAATGGGTTGACCGGCCGCCTCGAGCTTTGTGCCGAAACGCAGCCCTCGGACACGTGAAAGGATAATAAATCGCCATATAAATAATAGGTGCCTTGAAGAATCTACAATGACGATTTTGACCCATTGTTAGCCAATTTTAGACGTTTTTATACAAGCTATCCTAAATTCACATAGCAAATATTTGAAGAACAACACAGTACCTCAATACGCTTTAATATGTAAACCATGTAACAATTATATCGTAAAATGTTATCAAAATATCCGAAGTAGTAACGTTGTTATTTTCGTTGTATAAAAACAAACAGTGTGTCTTACGACGATCTTTACTCTGCTACAAATTATTGTGTGCCCGCGAAATTTTCTGTTTCTTGTTAATTGCATTCCTTTCCGCACACCAGTAAGCAATAAATAACAGAATGATATTAATAATAAATTGATAGTAAATCATTATCTGTACCAAGACTTCAGGCGTTCAGCCATATTTATTACAATTATTCACGTTATTTACTTAAATAAAATTGCTTTGTCGCCTTTCAACATAACAAGATATATAAGTACTTGTAGAAAACAATTATACTATCTCTAGTTGAGATATCTTAAAAATGTGTTATACCATCAAGACAAGCGCGAAATTGACATCATTAATAAGTATTAATTATTTAGTGCATTGTTAACGTGGGTGTGGAGCTTAGGCCGAGCATTATATAGGGACCGTCCAAGGTAAATTCAATGCCCAGTGACAAATAGGAGTTATAAAGGGTGAAAGCGGCTCTCCATGAAATTTATCCCTTTCCGACGGAACCGCCTACATGTACTACTCAATATTAATGATGTGATCTTAGTTCAAATGTCTCTCGCAGCCTCTGCTTGACGTTTATTAATGGGCAACATTTGTGTGCAGAGTCCGCTGTATGGTCATCTACTTTCGTCGAAAGTTAACTTGCCGTGTTCATTGATAAAGGTACCAAGTCGTCGTAGTTGAATATTTAGAACGTGACTGATATTTGTCCCTAATCTTATCGATCCGAGTTTCTATTTTCAAATTATTGGCGAAATAAATATAAGCCTCGTTCACAAACCAGGCTTTCGTGGGATGAAAGTTTTTTTCTTTGTTTTCACTCTAACATTGGCCAGTACTCTACAACTATCACGTCGCTAAGACGACCTTGCGGCTCTCCGTCTCAAAAAGTATCTGAAATTATTGATTTCAAGTATATTTTGTCCAATTTTGCAAAAAACAATGCTAGAAGTATTATTATATGATTGTTATACCATTATTGTTATATACTTATATGTACTTGTTATATATCCGTGATAAGTGCTTTAAATTAAAAAGATTCTATTTTAATGGGACACCAATAGGTTTCGAGTCACCATATTAAATATTGCGACTCGAAACTTACTCTTTGTGGAACTGCCAAAAATCTGTTTAACCTGCTTCGGTCCCTACGGTGAAACGTCTGCTCGTTTGCCAGTCTCTGTCACAAAAAAGTTTCCAGTAATATTCTTTTACGTTTTCATTTACAAATTCTGATTAATTTAAATAATAATAATACATTATTATTTTTAAATGTAATCTTATTGCTTTTGGTAAAATTCCTATCTCATGTAGTTTACCTTTCTTATTAATTTCTTACAAAATTTCCGAAAATAATAGTGAAGCACAAAATCTGGTTAATGTTAATGGTGTATATATTTTTGTTCTATTGATTCATTATAGGATGGAGCAGCTTCTTTTACGTAACACCATTGTATTTATTATCGAAAAATGCGTCCGATATTTTCCTATCAGTTTCTGGAAGTTGTCCTTTGCAATATAATAGTAGCAAGCATGACTTGAGATTAGACGGACATAGTATATATATAAAAGACAATTTAGGTGTGTATGTATGTTCACCTAAAACTCGAGAGCCGTTAGCCCAATTGATATTAAACTTAGCACATAACTATAATGGACAACATGACCACTCCGACGAACATAGTTACATTAGTGTGCGATAGGTGGCGCTGGTGGCAGTGATTTTTATCTTTTGTGCCGTAAGTCGAATACTATACGGTTACACGTAAGATTTTTCTGGGTGAAGCGAAGCGCACCGTGCACTAGCTAGTACTAATATATAAGCACTCAAAAGCAAAAAAACTCAAGTCGTGAAAGTGATAGCACAAAGAATTTTTTGTTGTTTCTATCGATTTTCGACTTTCACAATGAGAATCTAATGAATTACAACTAGATTGTTATTAAGATTTAATCTATATACTTATTTAGTTTGTATAGAATATGGGTAAATTTTATATCGCACAATACCTCACGATGTAAATGCGGCGGCGATGGTTAACATATCGACTGTCGCATCTTCAACAAAAATCATACTAGCACTACTTTCTGTGCAACTACAGCAAACAAAGAACAATGCCCACTTCTTATACATTTAAAAACCTGATAATGAAAGTGTATGTATAGTTACAAGGTATAGCAGAAAGACTACCTTTAAGTTGGTAAATTAATATCATATAGTCATTTTTACGATTGCTGGTCTACGAAGTCCAAAAATTATTAAAAAATGTTACTTTTTAGGTTAGGATTTGCAGTTACCTAATATAACGAAATAAATGTGCTAGAACTAACTATTTACGCTCAAGTTTATTCTAAAATAATAATATTAGCCTATCTAAGATCTAAAACGTCTTTTTTACTTGTGAATTCCTAGAAACCGACTGCCCTTACGTCACTGCTTAGACTCGATTATTGTCACTATAAAAATGAGTGAAGAGCATTTTCTGCTGCTTCAACAGCTTACATAAGTACTTACTAAAAAAAACGTAAGTTAAAAGTTATCATTTATCTGCCCTACACATTTCATTGGCCTGCACTACAATACATAATAATCGATAATTATAATACCTGATGAATAAAACGGGGGAAAAAATAAAACACTATGTTACAGTGGAATGCTTTATTAATTATCATCATCTTTACTTAAATGTCATAACTATGTTATCCAGAAATTCTGCTATAACAGAGATATTTTCTTGATAGTTCATCCGAAGTACCACACTAGTCATAACATGAGTGCAACATTCTATGATTCGCCAACCAACTAAACAATTACAACAGTATTCGACTATACTAGCTCTGCAAGACACATTATTTTCTATTAAAATGTAGACATAATATTGTTTTCTTTAAATGTGCCAGGACTTAATTTCCTCTTATTAGTGTTATGTCACCACTTCCTCTCAGATTATTCCTAGAAAACTCCTGTGTCCCTACATATTTCTATTCGCATATGTTCGCCATAATAGGATTTGGCTTGCATTATTTGGTACCTATTGCAAATAGTATAAGTGCACTAATAACTTAATCTCAGAAACATAAAAAATAAGTTATCTTCAGTAGTAGAAACACCACAAACTTCAGTAACATGCCTAATATGTGTGGCAGCACTCTTACAACTCATCCAGCATGAATGGCATATTCTATCAGATGATGATATCTATCAGATGAAAACTATCTACAAAAGAAGTAATAAAGCAATAATTATTATTCATCTTAAAAATCAATTATGTATTTATTTGTGGTTAAAATTATTACAGCATCAGTCAATAACAGATATAATAATTTACATCTAAAATACAAAAGAGAAATAATCTAGAGTAATAGTATCAAGTTTTATACTGACAAATGATTAACAATGTAGAAACATGAATATGTGATGTTGTAAACTTGTTTGTATAATAGCATTTATCTGTCTTTGCTTTT